ATCAAGGTCACGTTGGAGAACAAGCTTTATGGTTCGAACCCTCTTTTCCTTTTTCTATTTGAGACTTGCTTATACTAATAGTCGCAGATCTTTACAATGAAGTTTTCGAGATCATTGACAGCTGTACATTTGCCGCCAAATCTATCTCGCCAACCATGTGGCAAGCATTTGAGCTCATCCACTCAACTTTCAAGGCTGGCGCCGAACTTTATCTCGAAGATATGCTTCCAGCTTTGGACAACTTTGTACAATATGGCTGTGCTCATCTCGTGCAATCGCCACAATATTTGGATGCCTTCTTTGGCATGGTTGCAGATATGTTTGCTGATGATAAGGTTGGAGGTGTTGACAAAATTTGTGCATGCAAGTTGGCCGAAGGCATGATGCTCAGTCTAAGAGGTCACATTGATCAATACGTTTTACAATTCGTCGACATGGCTATGAGAACTCTCACAAATACAGATGTCAAGGTCAAGTCATACAAGATCCATCTTATGGAAATGGTTATCAACGCAATCTATTACAACCCAGCTTTGACTTTACATATCCTAGAGCAAAAGCAATGGACCAATAAGTTCTTCAGCTTGTGGTTCGCAAGCATTGATAGTTTTACCAGAGTACACGACAAGAAACTTTCAATCGCCGCCATTGTTTCCTTGCTCACCCTCAATGCCGATCAGGTTCCAGTCAGTGTTCAACAAGGCTGGCCTAGATTGTTGCAGGGTATTGTCAGATTATTCCAGACTCTCCCCACGGCCACAATTAACCGTGAGGAAGCATTAAAAGATGACTTCCCAGCAGATGGTGAGGGATATGATGATGACGAGGATGACGAGTGGGCTGGTGATGATAATGCCTGGGGAGAGGAAGGTGATGAGGGAGATGACGAAAACGACATCAAGGATGAAAGTAGCGCCTATCTCGAGTTTTTGAGCGAAGAAGTAAGTGATGATGATTTTAACTTGAATTAATACGTGCTTACAAAATTTTAGGCTTCAAAATTCAGCAATCTTGAAGATCAAGACTCGGATGATGAGCTTGGTGAAGAGAGTCTTCTTGAAACTCCTCTCGACAAGGTGGAGCCATACCAGTTATTCAAGAACGCCTTGATGAGTATGCATTATTCCTGGAAACATGATTGGAATGATGTACTAATTTCTATACAGAACTTCAACAAGAACAACCTCAACTTTATGAATCACTTACCACAAATCTTAACCCATCTGAGCAAGAAGTTGTTCAAGGTGTTATACATCAAGCAGACGTCAACGCAGCTGCGGCAATTGCATCGGCTCAAATCGAGGCACAACTTGCTGCAGGCGTAGTCAATGGAGGAGCTTGAAGAAGAAGAAAAGATTAGATTCGTCATGATTTATGTCGAATAGTTGGAGTGGATTAAATGGTTGCTCAAGCGCACGTTGCATTTGGTTGGCGTTTTTTTGATATGAGAGATATGAAATGAAGTTCCAGATTTGAATTTCATGATATCCTTACAGGTACGAAATGATTATGGATGCTGCATACCCTGGGATTTTAAGAATCATTCGGGATTGCGAGGAATGGTAGTTGATCAGGGTTGTGGGATAGGAATTTCATCTGATTAGATATGATGACGATGGTGATGAGATGAATCTTATCGATTGGATGCATATCAGATCGAATTTTGATGAGATTGAGAATTGGTAGGGTAGGGTAGGGGAGGTATAGTATAGTAATTACTTTACAACTTGAAGGACGACTTTAGTCGTTAGATGTTACGTTGCAATACCACATTCCAGAATAAAAATTTGCCATTAAATAATATTTTGAATGATTTGTTGTTGTTTATGTGATGATCTATAGGTAGTTTGTGGATTTACAGAGGGGGAGTGATTCCTGATTTTGGTGGATGGATGGATGGAAGGGGGATGAGGATGGAGGAGGTTGAAAGGAAGTTAAATCAAGTCAAGTTTAGGCTGCGCAACGGGTATCCGCGGATAATCCGTCTGTGGAGCGGATAATTCAGAATCTGGATGAGTAACTTGTAGAACAGGTACAAATTACCTGCGGATATCTATCTATTTATATATTATATAACTATTCATAATCTTTTATAATATTAATATAATTTTATAATTAATATAAAAATTAGTATAAATCTAAGCTTGGATCACTTTTGGGCTGAAAAATAATCTGGGAATAGCTTCATATTTTAAACGAAAAAAGTAAAGATTCTCCGCTTTTTTGAAGAATCTATATATCCATAAATTATTTACAAATAATCCACAAATTATTCACAGATAACCCATATATCCACAAATAATTCATTTATCTATAAATAAATAGATTATCTATAAATAATTTACAGATTATCCATACAGAGCAGGTAATTTTAAAGCCTCAACAAATAATCCGCAGAGCGGATTATTCGCAGATAATCCACGGGTACAGATAATTTGTGCGTAGCCTAGTCAAGTTACAAATATATTCCAAGCTGTTTTCTCTCTCTCTCTTTCTCTTTCTGTGTGCTCCTAAGACATTTTGTTATCTCTATATCTCTATATCTAGTACAAACTAATCCATTCCATTCTGTCACTATCATCTCTTATAAGTTGTATGTATGTATGTATGTATTATGAAACGAGATAATATGAATAAAAACTTATAGACTTATAAAGAGAATAAAGAGGATTGGATAAAGGGGAGGGAGGAAGGGAGAAAAGAGAGATTGAGAATAAGTTTCAGATTTGGATTCAGATTTGGATTTAGATGGAAATGAAAAATTTTGTATTGTAAATTTTGTGAAATTGGAGATTGAGTGATTGAGTGATTGAGTGATTGAGTGATTGAGTGATTGAGTGATTGGAAAATGGAGGGGTTGAGAACTTGAGGGCTTGAAAACTTAAGGACTTGATTAATTATTTAATATATTACAAGATGAATTCCGAGAGATATTGAGAATGAATAGATTTCATTAATATATTGATCTGAATACATATATTTCTTCACGTTGATCTTTATCTTTTTATCTATCTTTCTCTTTATGACTATACCTAAATGTTTATCTAAATATCTATCTGAATACTAACTCAAATACTAACTCGCTTCTCTGTATCCCCAACTCTTCCTACCCGCTTCTCACTTCTCGCTTGCCTTTCCCTTTGTTTCCCTTTGCCTTTTTCTTATTATCTATTACTTACTAATTATTATCTCTTACTACTCCTTACTCCTTACTCCTTATTATTTATCTCGCTTATTATCTATCCTACTCCTTTTCCCCTTATGTCGCTTTCAATTCTATCTCCTTTTATACTCCCTTCCTCTCTCTTTCTTTTGTTAGCTCTCTCTTCAATTTCAATCACCTTTTTCCCTCTCTCTTCATTTTCTATTACCCCTTCCGTACCTCTTCTCACAGTTCTCATCGGTTTTTATTACACTCTTTCCATTACATACCACTCCCTTCAAGTATCATTCCCTTTCGAAATCCTATCCCATCAAAAATTCCCCCTTGAATTCTAATCTCAAACATCTCCTTTCTCCTTTCTCCTCTCTTAACCTTTTAACCTTTCTTTTCTTTCTTCTCTCTCCTTACACTCAATTTTCTTCCCCCTTTAAAGCTCTCACATCCTCCTTCTCCTCCCTCTTACATCCCCCCTTACAGCTCAAATATCCTCCTCCACTACCCAAACCCAACCCCAAATCCAAACCTAAACCTAAACTAAAAATCCAATTTCCCACCCACTCCCCTCCAAAATCCACACACACGTCCATACATACTTCCATCACCATTTCTCCTCAAATCCCTTATTTCTCTCCAAAAGTTACACTCCCCTACCTACCTAGATAATTTCCTTCTCCATTTTATCTACAACATCTTTTCTTTATCCGAATCATCATCAACATCAATTTAATTTTCCATTCCTTTTATTCTCTCTTTACTTTTCCTTCTCCTTCTTCTCCCCCATTCTCCCTTCTTCCTTCTCACTTCTCACTTATTCCTTATATTCTTTCCATTCCCTTCTTACTCCCTTCTCGCCTACTCACCCAATCAACCTCCCATTCCCCTTACTTTTCTTTCTTATTTCCCTTACCCTTTATCTTTGTCTCATTACCCCCTACTCTCCTCCTAATCATTCACCATCACCTTCACCTTCACACTCCCTCTCTCTCCCTTTCTTCCCACCTCCGCATTATTTAACTTATTTATTATCCTCCTCCTCTTTCTTCTCATTTTGCTTTCGATTCCATCCCATCCCATTCTTTTCATACTCTTTTCATACTCTTCCCATCCCTTCCAATCTCCCCCCTCCAGAATTGCCTCCTATAATCCGCCCCCCAAAATCCCATCCCACCCCAATCCCAACTCCAGAATCAATAACACATACAATCCTTTCCTTTCTCTTCCAATACACTCCCTCCTCTTTGATCCTTCCATTCCCCTCCACTTCCCTTAATTTTCTCCCCTCTCCCCTCTTCCTTCTTCTCTCTTGCTCTCTCTCCTCTCTCTCCCCACCTTCCTATCCTTCTCTTTCCTCTCCTTCCTTCTTAAGATCCATTTCAGATCCACCCCAAATTCTAGCACTAGATACCATATACTCACCTTCACATTTAATCATTCATTCTCTCCATATTCAAATTTATCTTATTCGAAACCTCAAATTTATTCTTTTTTCTCTTTTTATTTCTTCTTTTATTTTTCCCTTTTCTCTTTTCTCTTTTTTAAACATTTAATATTTTATATTATATATCTGATACTAAATATTATATAAGTTATATAATTTTATATTTTCAATCTCAATTCTTATTTCTATTTCTATCTTTACCTCTACCTTTACTTCTACCTCTATCTCTACTTCTATCCTAATCTCAATTTCAAGTTCAAGATCAAACTAAATCCCAAGCTCAATCACTCCCAACTCGATAAAGAACCGATTCAAGTCTTCACAATCTCTAGATATATACAACATACACCCCAATCACCAGTTACATCACATCAGTCACACTGAACAAAACTTCATATATATTTCTTGACCATTTGTATTCCATTTCTACCTTGTACCTTATTTATCTTATCTTATAATCAAGTCCTCACCAACACTTCCTAAATCATCCACTTGTGCCCTCCTATCGCCCGACTATTTCACCAATCCAACCCCTCATCCTCAGCCCTGTCCAGTCTGACCTAGCATCTCAATGTCCGTATCATTATTTGCACGCGCCATACAATTTCTCTCTCCATATCCTCCATTCCCAATTATCACTGAGAGTCAAGAGCCAGTAGCCAGGAACCAGAAGACAGGTCTGAACAAATTCAGTCAGGTAGCCCAGTCAACATCACTCATCCACCAATCAAATCCACCCCCAATATCAACTCCATTCTCGCACATCTCTCCCTCACGTTCTGATTCACTCAGCTATGTGGGTAATCACCAATTAGCCGGGTAGTGTACTTATTCCCAAACTCCGGAGCCCATCGCATTTGCATAATTGACCTAGCATTTTTGATTAACACCAAAAGGCAGCGTAAATCAAAAGCCCATAAGGGAAACAAAAAAAAGAAGCAAGAGCTAGAAGTAAGAAAGGCAGAAAAAGAATGAAAAGTAAAATGAGATAGAAAAAAAAAAAAGAGTAAAGAAAGAAAAAAGGTCCCAATCGTAACACATTGACTTTATTACATAAACTCCAAACCAAAACATGTGAACCCCATAATGGCCCTCCGGTGATTCCATATATCTGTGGAGAAGACTATTCCCATCTCCGCACCTTTGATATATTCCCAATTCCCAAACCTATCAACGAAGATGTGCTGTTGTTTATTGGTTTTTTTCACCATGACATCCCCAAGAACCCTATTCATCCTTATAATAAAATCAGGTAATTCGAAGGCGCTATTCCAGTGTCTCCATTCTCTTTCTTGGCTTGCCACCATCTTCCGCTTACGTCCGAGACTTCTAATATTTCGTGTTTGGCGAAACTAATCTCGTTGGCATCATCTGGGTTGGCATCGTAAGAGTAAATGGCCTTCGCTCGATATGGGTATTCTGTAGGTTGAATGACCTCTCCCGGTGTAGGTTCTGAACCCATGCCACCATTTGGTCCAAGATTGCTGGCTCCGAATCTTGGTTGTGATGAGTTGCGCTCGGCTCCTGCGGCACCTCCTGGGAATCCTGCTACGGGTGAAGATGTTTCGAAACCACCCAATTGCGCTGATGTATACATTTGTGGGGGAACATTTGAAGAGACTGAAGTATCCGGTCGACCAATTCCATATCCATTTCCATACGCAGTCGACATTCCTCTTCCTGACGACACTCTGTGGTCTTTATGCAGTGCAAACGAGTCAAGGTATGCTCGAGGTACCGCTGAAGGTGTTGATCCAAAGTAGAACATCCAAATAATCTGGATTCAACATTAGTAAGGGATCTAGACCATTGAGAGCAAATAATCTTACCGCAACCATCGAGAGAAGGATATGTCCAGCAGCGGCTGCTTCTTTTGCTCCATTTGAAGAATAAATTAATGAATTGACAGATGAACTTGTCAAGACGAGACCGGTAGCCAAGAAGCCAACGATAGCAACATGATAGGTTTGAGTTGTATCCGATGCTATCACAACAAATATACCTAGAATGCAACACAGCATATATGCAATCGTAAACCATGAATAATTTGGAAATCCGTCATTAGTTGGGTGTGATGCAGTCGCTAATATCGATCCAATGAAAGCAATAAACCATGCAAGCTATCAATCGTTCATGTCAGTAACCATTGCAGGTAGAGAATGAGGCGCAGTGTATATCCACGACTCTGAAATAACATACCATAGCAATCGAGATGGTCGCCAGCGCGAATGGATCACCTAGAATATTATCCATACTCATTCCACGCATTCCAGCGGTCCTCCGACCTTTATAATCTGATTGATTCATTTTGCGTAGTGACGGTGAGGTTATTGGTTTGTTGGGTATAAGAAAGATCTACAAGATCGTGAAAAGGATGTTGATGTTGTGGTTGAAAGTAATTATTGTTGTCGACTCGGGGATTATCGTCGCAAATAAGAGCATTCGATTCAATCGAACGAATTGTAAATCGAGGATGAAGAAAATTGAGGAAATACGTAAATCAAATATTGAAGAGGGTCGTAGAATAGGTTGGCCGGTGGTCGAAGTGATGTTTCAGCTGCAGTGACTGAATTAAGGAATCTACTTCAATAGATTGAAGCAAGCAAATGGGAAAAATCCAGATGAATCAATTCAACGCAACGCTCGTTATTTGGGGTATCGTAATTTTGAAAGCTAACCACAGCCCAGCAGTAGCAGCGACCTTGATCTTTTTAGAAAATAAAAATCAATATCACGAGGATTGAGTGATAGTGTTGAAAGAGTGTGGTTGTGGTGTAAAATAAGATCGAAGGTAATGTATGTATGTATGTATGTATGTGCGTGTGTGTGTGTGGTGTGTGGTGTGTGTGGTGGAGGGTTGTTGCGTGCGTGGTTTAGAAAAAGGGGATCGATGGGTGTGATGATACGCGCAATGGCACGAAAATTGAGGAAAAAAGGTTAAAAAGGATTAATTAACAAGGTATATCTGTATGTATGCACCTTGGGTATATGTACCAGGGATGGGGTAAGAGTGAACAATGTGTACCGTATGTATGTAAGTGTACGGGGTATGCAAGTTCCCAGATTGGCAGTGTATGATGTGATGGATGTGAGAAATGAATAGAAAGGGCAATAATGAGTGGATGTGGCTATCAGGGAGGTTACCGAAAAGCGACCAGATCGGAGTAGGATTTGGGGTAAAGAGTGAGTGAGTGAGTGAGTGAGTGAATGAATGAATGGATGAAATGGTGAGACGGATGCTTTTTGGCGAGAGAGAGAAGAATGGTATGAACGATGGATGGATGGATGGATGGATGGATGGGTGGGTGGATATATGGGGTAGGGTAGGGCAGTGTGAAGTGTGTTGATTAGGCTGAATGAGAGTTGGTATCCGGAATAAGAATGTGTAAGATTGATTGGGTGTGATAGTTATAATTCATTCAATGGTAATGGTAACGGTAACGGTAATGGGGTGAAATTCCTCTATGAAAATGAACGGAAAACGGGATCACGGAAAGCAAAGGAAAGGAACGAATCTAGAGTGTCTGGGTCTAGCCAGAGTGAGTACTAGGAGGAGTTAGGTGTCCTTGGTAATTAATAAGAAAAAAAAGATACGAATCATTCATAGCGAGCGTATCTCTACCGAGGACTCCGGAAGTGAGCATGGCATACAAGTATGATTATTTACAAGGCTCGAGCAAGAAGCAAGGGAAGAGATGCTTCTCTAGATTGGAGTGAGGCGGAGGATTTATGCTAGCTACCTAGCTGTATTCATTATGAGATTCATTACCAATTTATTAGTATATCCCATCTTGTCTTGTCTACTTACTAGATACTAGAAATACCTCCCTCTACTTTCATTATCCTCTTCTCTCCTCCCATCCATCGTATCACATTCCAATAAGATTTGACCCCCCCAACTCGTCGCATGGCATTGGCTGAAAGAGACGAGAAAAAACGATGGGGCCATCTAGTACGACGCACGCTTTAGGGAAATTCTTTGCTTTAGTTTGAGATGCGTTTTTTTATTAGTCAGGTAAAAGATGTGGTGGTAGTGGTAGTGGTAGTGGTGTGGAAATTCATTTGGGTTCCTGATATCTATGGAGTATCGAGTGTCTATCGACCTACTACTTACTAACTACAGAGTATACCGGTATATACATCTTCCAAAGCCCTGGAAAGCAATATAACATACAATGTACACACATCATACCCCTCTCAATCTCAATCTATATTATACCACAAAATATACATCATCAATCATCAATCATCCATCAATCATCCTCCTCCATAAACCTCAAATTAATCAATAATTCAGTACCTCCCAACCTATCTACTACTCCGTAAACTCACTAACCTACCAACTAATAACTAACTAACCAACCAACCAAATAAAATACCTAAAATCATACCTTTCTCCTCTCCCTCCCAGATTCCCAGACTTTCCGATCCGATTCCTCCCAGGGTCCATCTCCGATCCATTTTTCAATTTTTTATTTTCTCATCACAAAAATCCAAAAATCTAGACTTTAGGATCATCCATCCACACACGTTTCACATTTCAGGGGTCAAGTCAAAACCCTCACTTTATTTATTTTTTTCGCAAGTGTACGAAGTAATAATTCTTTTTGAATTTCTTAATGAAGGGGAATATGGATACTAGGTCCTCACTCCACTCTACTTTGCTTGGTATTTCTGATACTTTTACAGGTATAATATATTGATCAGTATATTGTGTATATCTTTGTATGTATGTATGTATGTATGTGTGTAATCTAGTCGCTCCTAGGTATCTTCATGTCACCCTTACTACCTACTTACTTACTACCTAGATACTTCCATTCCATCTCACACCATACGATGATAACTTATAACGAACAGATCACCAACTACCATCTCCTCAGCACTGCCTTCCTCTGGACTCTGCACCGCTACAGAGTCCACAGCACGCACAGCACAGCTGCACAACACGGACCGCAAGCTCGTATGCTCGTGTGCTCGTGCTGGTTCCTGGCAGCTGTGATGTGATGTGATGTGCAGTGCAGCGCTGTGTTAATCATACGTTCCCTACTACCTAGTCTATCTCCTCGACGTAAGATTACATGCATACTTGTCAGAAGCAGATGCAGATGCAAGTTATATAAAGTCCAATCTTCAATCTTCCATCTTCCAAGAGAGGGAACGGTGCTTTTATGTCAATATTTACATCCAACTGCCCATACCACAATCCCCAATCCTATCATACTTCACACCACAGAGGACCCTTCAATTTTTTATTTCCATCTCTCAAGTATCTACGAGTATCGCAAGCACATTTAATAGCCTGTGCGTACGAAGTACATATATTATATTATATATTATATTCTACATCAAATACCTACCTACCTAGGTAGCAAACCCAACACAATATACCATTACGTCAAGAGGCAATTCCCGCGAAAGAAGGTTTTATAATCTTCTTTCTCCCTGCACCACAAAATCACCATACACAAATGACGATATCCACGTCCCACCATCCAACGCGCTTTTCTCTCAACCGTTAGGTTTCGGAACATGGACCAGGTATCTAGGATCACTACGGAGTATTTCTCAAGCTATTGTGATCATCTTTTCCTTCTTGTGTGTTGATCGAAAATTGGAGCTGTTGAGTTTGAAACTTTGCTCATCACTACTCACCACTCACCAATAAATGAAAGATGATCGAAGGGAGAAAGACGAAGAAAAGATCTTCTGCTAGCAACGGGCGCCTTCTCCCCACGTTTATCATAATAGCTCGTGCTGTGCTTTGCTTTGCTCTGCTCTGTTGTGTGGTAGTGCTTGGTCTCATTATCCTCATCACGCGTGGAATTTCTAATTCAGACTCGTTGGCGCCATGCAATGTCATGACTGAGATTATCACGATTCGTGATACTCCAACTTCACAGTCCTGGGCAGAAAATTGTTCTCTAGATATTGGAACAGCTCAAAAATGTACTCAACTACACGTGTGAATGGTGCTTCCTAACTATGAGGTTCATTCGCTCCTAAGCTCTTGCAATAACGGCTGTTCATCCCTTCGCAGGCGGCACCGGTGATACAACAATTACTACAGATATATCTGACTGATACATATGATAGCTGGTACGTCATAGCTCAGACCGTTGATATCTTTGTAGCCAATTCCTGAAACGCGGATCATACAACCTCCGTACTCTTCCATTTCTCAGCTGTAGTATCATCGCCTTGTCCAAGATATTGGGACGTATCTCTCCGCAATTACTAAAATACTGCTAGAACAATCATCATCACACCGAGATGTCGATGTTGCTCTGACCCAGAGACGTTTCCGTTCCATCTCACTTCACTAACTTCAACATGACGTGTATCTCTTTGGTATGTTCCCACTGAGAAGTCAAGCTTCTGATAACGTGTTGACCGTGAGAAATGTGAATCTCACTCCTGAGCTATTCCATCATCCAATTGTTTCAGTGTTGTGGCTCTTCGAACCTTTTGCTCTACATGTTGCACTCTTTCTTCCAACTCTGCCCAACTTTCACCGGTTCGTAATATATCAACAGTATACCATCGTTGAATCACCGCCGCGGTTCTTTGTCTCAACGCTGATAACTCCGCATTCTGTGCCATCTGGAGAGCTTCGATTTTCGCAATTCGAGGTTGCAATTCGATGAGTTGAGCTGATGATTCTGCGGATGGGATTGGCATGTCAAGAATAGATGTTAATCGAGAAGCAGTAGATGGATATGCGCTGGCGGATGCTAATACGATAGATAAAATACTGGATGTGTCGAGTGTGGTAGGTAGTATGTCTGGGTCAATGGATTGAAAGAGGTCGGGATACTTGGCATCTAGAACGAACGCATTAGTTATTACTACTGAATAGCCCCCGATAGTCCCAATAGACTCACGTAACTGCAATAAATCCTGAATCACCCTTGATTTCGAAGCAAGTCCATGTAGAACATGTTCTAAATCTGCAAGTCGTTCATACGCAGATATAGATACATCGGAACTTGTGACAGATGTAGTGTCAATATGACCACACACAGCATATTCTATCCTCCGAAGACGGGCTTCTAAGAGATCAATAGTTTCCGAGGCTGTCTTGTCGAATGTGTTATCCATTGCGAAAAGTGAAATTGGATGTTTGGAACAATTGTAATTTAATGTTCCTCAATAATCTGGGGAAAGGAGAGGGCTGCAGCCAAAAATGTACAGCAAGGCTGATAAGGTTAGGGAAGTTTAAAGCCTAATTAGTGGCTTAGCTTGGCGATCACTCGCAATCTTGAAGACTGCCGATTGCTTCCGCTTCATCACTATTCTGACGGGGCACTTTTTGATTATTGGTCCTCACTCATTACATGCGATTACCAGTCAATTGCGCGACATTCACCTCCCTTGACGAATACATCAACTTATCCTCTGATCACAACTTCAGACGATACTCACAACATTCACAACCGTATGCAAACGGGTATGGTGGCGCTTAGAAAATTGTAGGATCAGGACAGCTCTTCGAAAGCTCCGCATAAATACCTACGCCAATCATTCCCCATACTGGCACGTTCTCACCGACACCTCGAGGAGAAAGAAGAGAGAGGAACACAACTAAAACATGGCTTCATATTTGACTGTGGGCGGGCCCAGCGCCAGTAGCTCAGAATCTAACCGTGGTCCACGGTAAGCAAATGTTCGGGAGGAAATGATGGGAAGAAGGATGTATACTGATGGTCGCGTGCAGAAGGAAATCAAGTCGAACAATTAAAGAACAGAACCTGCCTCATGGTCAAGCATCTTGGATTAGTAGCAATGTCAATCTTCTTAACACTAGTATGTTCTACCCCAAACTCTCTGGGGATGATGCTAATGTTGAACTCTCTAGTCGTTGGCGCTGGTACGCTTGCCATGCCCCTAGCGATGTCACATATGGGAATCCTACTCGGAACATTCGTTATAATATGGTCGGGTATGATGGCTGCTTTTGGGTTATATTTACAATCTCGATGTGCGAGATATCTTGATAGGGGGACGGCTTCTTTTTTCGCTTTATCCCAAATCACCTACCCAAATGCAGCAGTCATTTTCGATGCGGCGATTGCCATCAAATGCTTCGGTGTGGGTGTCAGTTACTTGATCATTATAGGTGATCTGATGCCAGGAGTTGCGACTGGTTTCAGTCAGGGAGCAGAATCTATGCCAATTCTTATGGATCGAAAGTTTTGGATAACAGTCTTCATGTGAGTTTGGCATTCTACTTTTGATATGATTATACTGACTTGTCTCTAGGTTTGTTGTTATTCCACTCTCATATTTAAGACGTTTGGATTCTTTGAAGTATACTAGTATTATTGCTCTGGTTTCTATTGGATATCTTGTCATTCTCGTAGTATACCACTTTGTTAAAGGAGATACTATGGCAGACCGGGGTCCAATTAGAGGAGTTGAGTGGGCAGGAATAGTCCCAACGTTACAAAGTTTTCCCGTCATCGTCTTTGCTTATACTTGTCACCAGAATGTAAGTAGTAAACACCTTAGTTTTCCATTGGTATACTAACAGTTATAGATGTTCTCTATTCTGAATGAAATCAAAGATAACTCACCCAAGCGAACTACAGGTGTTGTTGCGGCAAGTATTGGAAGTGCTGCTTCTATATATGTTTTGGTCGCTATCACCGGATACCTATCTTTTGGTAACGCTGTGAAGGGAAACATTGTTGGAATGTGTAAGTGCTCATTATTGAAATTGCAAGCTCGCAACACTAACAATCATAGATATTCCATCTACTGCTTCAACAATCGCTAAAGCAGCTATTGTGATTCTTGTCATGTTCTCATATCCACTTCAAGTACATCCTTGTAGAGCATCAGTTGATGCAGTCTTGAAGTGGCGTCCAAACTCCTGGAAGAGAAGTCATTCGCCTACTGGTTCGCCTGCACGCTCTGCTCCTTTACTCTCTGGTGGTCGTGTACGACCAGCTGCAAGAAACGATACTATCAGTGAAACACGATTTGCAATTATCACCACGATTATCATTGCCCTTAGCTATTTTACAGCAGTTACTGTATCATCACTCGATAAAGTCCTCGCATATGTTGGAAGTACAGGAAGTACAAGTATTAGTTTCATTTTACCAGGTTTATTTTACTACAAGATTTCCTCATCAGATTCGATCCATCACCAGCGATTAACAAAAGAAGATGACGAAACAGATTCTGATGAAGATGAGGAGGAAGGTCAAGGTTTACTTGGTCAATCCATCAAGAAGATCACTTGGCGTAAAACCATCTTACGAAAGCTTTCGTTGGCATTGGCTATCTATGGTCTTTGTGTGTTGGTCATTTGTTTAACGACCAATCTATTCTTCACAGCCCAGGGGCATTAAAGTTGATTGAAAGGGGAGATTCACCTCTGAAGTTTGTATCGCATCTGAAATCATAAATTGGCAAGGCGCCGGGCGTTTTATCATGGCATCTTGGAAGCGGCATGGATTATAAAAGTCAAACATGGTGTTGTTTAGTCATTCATTAATGCCACAATTTTTGGGGACCTACTTGGATGTAAATAGGCAGGGTTTGGACATGAGGATAGGATTATATATAACGGCCGTTCGTCATAATAAGAGATATTATTTTCGATCAATTTTGGAATTGATTTAATGGTGTAGATGTAGATATAGGTATGTGATGTGATGTGATTTGATTTGAATTTTTTGTAATTCCTAACTCCTGATTTTTTCAACTTTACAAATGGACGCCCAGTCCATGCAAATCCGGTAATTCCATATTATCACGACAATTCATCCATCATCCACTGATCGACCTATTTATCGTTCATGAATATAAATGGACATTCGTCTCCTCGTCAAAATAGAGTCCCTCCCTCCCTTCTAGCATTTTTGCACATCTTTTAGGATATGTAAAGTGTCAAAAAGTAAAAACGTAAAACGCCCCATACATGCTATACACACATACATCATCCCCCCTTTCCTTGCTTATTGAATTTCACATCTCCATTTGAGGTTATCGTCGTACCGGACATATGTGGACATGGATAGATAGACATATTTCTTCCAATTCGGATTCTGATTCTAATTATGCGCGAGATGTATGGGTGTAGTTTTATTTTTGATTGTTTTGTTTTGTTCTTGACGTTTGTCGTTTGTGTAATCAAAAATAGATAGAGAGATGAATTCTCATTCCGGTTCCAATCCCAGTTTCACAGCAGCAGCACACAATGTGAGAAGAGAGGACTTAGATATAGACACAAGCTAAGAATCGCTTTTGAGAATGGGTTTGCTGGAGATGGGGGACGTGGGTTTTTTGGATTGGGGCGTGTATTGGGGTTCGAGGAGGGCCGGCCTGGTGGGTGGGTGGGTTAGTATTTGGGATTTGAGGGGGGATGGGGGGGATGAGTTTGGGGAGGGGTTTGGTGTGGAATTGGAGATTTTGGGGGGGGGGGGGGGGGGGGGGGGGGATATTGCGATTCTTCGGATTTCCAATTTCCATCCTGTAATTTTCCAAATAATAATGATAGAAAATATAACCAGAGATAAAAATAAACACAACTCAAACAACATACCATACTCAACAATCTCCACGCCGTCTTCGACGGCTGCGCACCCACGCCCAACCAATACTTTGCGCGCAGCGTATCCAGACGAATGTCTTTGAATTTTTGTCCCTCGCCGTCTGCGGGGAGCTTGGGGATTGGGTCGTAGGTGCCGAGGACTTCGAGGGGGAGGGAGTTGCGGGCTGAGCTGGGGGGGATTAGTGGTGATGTTTGATGGGGGGAAGGAAATCTTACCGGGCTTGTGCAACAACGATGTTGTAGAAGGGCTCTCTTTTGCGGCCGAAGCGCGCGAGTCGGATGCGTACAACCATTATTTTTGTTTGGGGTTGGGGTTTCGTGGAGGGAGATGGATAGGTTGTGATGTGATGTGATAGATATGGTATTGTAGATGAGGGAAATTATTTGAGATTCGGAGATTCTTCGGGTAGCGGGATTTCTTGGGTGTGGGAGTGGAACTTGTGGGCAGGGGGTGGGAGGAGAGGAGGGGTAGTGATGTAATTGTACTTGAGGAGGATTGATGAGATAGGTGGGTGACCTTCTTTGAAGATGGATGGCTACTCTGGGATTTTTGTATCTGGAGAGAAGAAATATATAATACAAGTTGATTGATCTATTTGTCTATTTCTGTCTTTCTTTCGAGAAAAGTATTAACTTAACGGATTAGTTTGTCGTTCCATCGATTACTGAATGATTGCCGTTTCAATTGATTGGAATCGTATAAGTACTCAATTATCATCAATCTATCAAAACCGACCGTTCGTCTGATATATTAAATTATCAAAGTATCAGACTACCACTACAACTACAACTGCAAATCCTGATTATCCATCTAACCATCCATCCCATCACACCTCAACTCCTATCCCATCACATCGTACCACTCATCATGGCAGCAAAAGTAAGCCCTCCTCCCCCCTTCCATCCCACCACAAACCAAACACAAATCCAACATCCCATAGTACCTCTCCGCCGCCAACGCAGCAGCTTTAGATAAAGACCTCATGTCTCTCGGAGCATTTTCTCTCGATCAATTGATGGAGTTGGCGGGATTGAGTGTTTCGCAAGCAGGTATGTACTTTCTACTTTCTTTTATGGGGGTTTCTTCTGGGGGGAGGGTTTGTTGTGATTTATAAGGAAATGTAGCTATATGAGAGGATAATCGAGGAAAAAACAAAGGGGGTATGGAGAGGCGAAGAAAATACTAGGGGGTGGTGATGTGTATTCATAGAAGTGTATGAAGTATATCATCCATGGATTCTGTTAATCTAGTCATCTATTGTATTAGGACATGCGAACTTGTAAAAGACGCATCTCCAAGTCAGATACTTCTTCCCATCTGATACATATATCACATTACTCCAAACAAAACACAATAACTAACCACAACCCAATTTCAATTAGTATACAAAGTCCATCATCCCTCCAAAGGTCGAAGAATTCTCGTCGCATGCGGACCCGGAAACAATGGTACGTAGAATTAGACTTCATCTGAATCTAAATTTCCTCTCAATTTCCATCCCGCAAAAAACCGCCAAACTAATTCTCCCCCCCAAATCAGGAGGCGATGGTCTAGTAGCAGCTCGTCATCTCTGGCACTACGGTTACAAACCCACAATCTACTATCCCAAACAAGGAAAAAATGAACTCTATCAAGTACGAAATCTTACATTTTAGCTGTGAGATATAGATATACTAATTCATTGCAGCGTCTCTCTACTCAACTCCGCAATCTTTCGATTCCATTTACCGATGATTTTTCGGAAGCTCTGAAAGAATCTGATCACATCGTTGATGCTATATTCGGTATTTCTTCCCTCTTCCCGTCACTATCACCCAAACAACCACCCAGCCCCCTTTCTCCTTTCCATTCCCCTCCCTCAACTCCCACACTCACTAACCACCCCTTCTCTCTAGGTTTCTCCTTCTCCGGCAGCATCCGCGACCCCTTCCCCTCCATAATCCGCGCTCTAGAAACCACTTCCCTCCCCATAACATCCATTGACGCGCCCTCATCCTGGGACATCGCCACTGGTCCTCCATCTTCCGGTCCCGGCGCAAACTTCATGCCGCAGTATCTGATTAGTTTGACGGCGCCGAAACCTTTGGTGAGGTTCTTTAAGGGGAGACATTTTTTGGGTGGGAGGTATGTTCTTCCTTCTTTTCTCCCGATTTTGTTACTTTTTTGTTGCTTTTGTTGGGTTTGGTTCGTTTGTCTGGTTTGATTAGCTGGAGATAAATATATGTAGACACCAAGGGATTAAGAAAGCTTACATCGACATCTAGATTCGTGACTCCCGAAATTTCCGAGAAATATAATCTCCAACTCCCAGAATACGAGGGGGTAGATCAAATTGTTGAGGTACCGGTTCAGGAGGAAGAGAAATTATAATGGATCGTTGAGATATTGAAGTATGATAGCACAATTAGGAGTATCGGCAGCAGCAATGTGAATGTGATGAAATTCAATGTGTGTTTTGTTTCTTTATTCTTATATGCATTGTAAAACTCATCTACTAATCATAATTAATATACATCAATTCATAAAGATCATCTCAAACGCATGATTCCATATTTATGTTGAATCATTATTCGTGCTGCGTGACACATGATTAGTTTCCAAGGCACAGTAAAAGGAAAGCAAGAATTCCAACATACCTCTTCGAATAGCACAAGCACAGTACCTGCTTTACAAATATCCTATTCGCATGATTCATTAGCATATACTCCTTAAAAACCTTCCCTGACCTCGAGATCAATAGACAGAAACCTAGGAATATCCACTCACCCCTTCCTTATGCACCAACTTAGCCACGACACCTTTCTGCGGACTTCGAATCACCGTTTCCATCTTCATACTCTCAATCCTATACATTCCACACATTAGCATCATCAACATCTCACAAATTTCCAACCCTAAGAAATACTCACACAACCAACGCCTGTCCCTCCTCCACCTCTTCTCCCTCTCCAACCTCATTCCTCAATACCTTACACGGCATCGGCGCCACCACACTATTTCTCACATCTTTCAACCCCAATGCTTTCTCATACCATCCCGGCGTTGCCAATTGTAATTGTATTTGTTTTCCCTGTTGGAAAAGTGTAACTTTATCATCTTGCCTGATTAATGTGCTTTCAATTCTAGTGTGAGGGAAGAAAGTTGAGATGGTAGGAGACTTTGGCTCGCTAACGATGTTTGCGTATGATTTCTCGACATTGGGTCCTTTCACTGTGATGTTGTACAGATTGCGGTCAGATTGGTCAATGGTTACGTGGTAGATTTCCGGCTTTTCGCTTGATGGTTGGATGATAGGTTTTGTGAAACTAAATTCGCGCTGTACGTGAGAGTTGAAACCGATTGCCTCGCCATGAGGACCTTGGATCGATTTGGAAGTCGCGGAAGAAAGTTCTTGGGATAAGATCCCAAGAGCAGCTTGGGCAAATGCTTCAGGCTCAATGGCCTCATTTACGAAGAGCTCATCGTGGTGCTTTTGTATGTATCCAGTCTCAACATCACCTCGAATAAATGCGGGACTCTTGCAAATCTTTTTGAGAAACTCGATATTGGTACTTAGACCAACCACCTCATAATCTTGTAAAGCTGCATGAAGTTTTCGTATGGCTACTTCTCTTGTCGGGCCACTCACGATAAGTTTTGCAATCATACCATCGTAGTTTGATGAGACTGTATCTCCTTGAACAAAACCCGCATCTATTCGAACACTTTCCGATAATTCAGGTGTTCGTAAATGAACCAGCTTTCCAGAATCAGGCATGAAATTTTGATCCGGATTCTCTGCGTAAATTCGTGCTTCAAGGGCCCATCCACGTTCAGATATTCTTTGAGCTATCGTGTCTTGATCAAGTGGTAATGGCTCACCAGCTGCAACTTTAAATTGCCATGATACGAGATCCTCTCCGGTAATTTCTTCAGTCACGGGATGTTCGACCTGTAATCTAGTGTTCATTTCCATGAAGAAAAATTCATTAGTATCGTTGTCGAATATAACTGGAACTTCGGTTAGCTTCGAGACAAATTGAATGGAAAATTTTCTCACATTCTACTGTCCCAGCACCCTCATATCCCACAGCAAGTGCAGCAGCGCGAGCTTTCTCCCAAAGATCCTGTCTGATATTTTCCGCTAAATTTGGTGCTGGTGCTTCTTCCAAAATCTTTTGATGACGTCTTTGTAAACTACAATCTCTCTCGCCCAAAGCAACAGCGTGTCCATGTTTATCGGCAAAAACTTGTACCTCGATATGTCTGGGCGTAGCAATATATTTCTCAACCAACATGACATCATCACCAAAAGAATTCCTGCCTTCACTCTTCGCACTCTCCAATTTCTCAAGAAATTCCCCTTCAGTCTGTGCAATACGCATACCCTTTCCACCACCGCCCTTCACAGCCTTCACCATGACTGGAAAGCCGATCTTCCTCGCTTCATTAAGTAGATGTTGAGGTTCTTGATTCTCCCCATGGTATCCAGGTATACAAGGTACACCCGCCTTGATCATAATATCCTTACTCCTGGATTTATTCCCCATAGCCTCAATAGCTTTCCAAGGCGGTCCAATAAACACCAACCCCTCTTCCACGCAGCGTTTCGCAAACGCCGAATTTTCACTCAAAAATCCATATCCCGGATGTAAAGCCTCACATCCTTGTTCCTTTGCCACAGATATAATTCGTTCCCCATCAAGATATGCATTCGCAGCACCCAGATTTACGGCGAAAGGACTGGAGAGTGCGTGTTGTGAATTGGCATCGGGATCCGTGTAGATTGTTGTGCATCGCACACCGAGATCTGAAGCTGTGCGTCCGACTCGTAGAGCAATCTCTCCACGATTAGCTATGAGAACGGAAGTAATGGGAGTAATTGTAGGAGTGGTGGCATATCGTCGGGAAAAGGAAGGGAGGAGAGCTCGAGCTAGAACTCGAGATCTGGTTGCTGAATGCATTTGAACATCAATTTAAAGAGTAATTTCTGGGGTTTATCAGTTGTGGCTTGGGCTTATGTTATAAAGCTGAGATTGAACGAAGAAACGCTGATTGTAAGAAGAAATTTATTTGTTCAATTCCCTAAGATTTATTTACGAAATTACTTGAGTTGTTGAATTGATGGCCGATGGAAACCGTCCTAATGCGGGGCCGAGCATTAGCCGAATCATATCTGGGGTAGAGGAAACCAGCTAAACCCAAGCTAGAATCTCCATAAAAACTTAATCACACTCTTGCTGTGCCGAGCGAAACGGTCATTTTTCTAACTTCACTCCGGAATAGTAGCTCAGCAACTAATAAACTTACTTATTACTTAAGGGGTAAAAATGGATGTAAAGCGATAATGAATAACAAGTCTGGTTGATTACGTTGAAGTTTCAACCTAGCCAGGGAGTCACATTGTCTTGTTATTGATCATTTCATCCTCATACCTAGGTAAACTCCCAAGTAAGGCTACCTATCTGAGCCATTTCTCCGGGAAATCAGCTGCGCAAATAGATAATCTCGGCCATATGTGAAAGATGTTGATTGCCCGCTTGGTATGATGTTTTCCATCACCACTTCGAACCTCACATTCCTATTTCTGCAGCGGCGAGATTATCCAAAGAGTAGATTACAAGACGCACCAACAAAACCTTCCTCCTTCTAACATCATATCTCCCACCCAATATTTTCTATCCTAGAATACCGATCATCAAAGAAAACTCCAATCCAGCATACTTGCCCTTCTCACTACATCACCACACCACCATCAACTCTAAACTTCCTCTATCACTCTCCATATCTATTCCACCAGCGCAGTCAATGGCCTCATGAAGAGCGCAACTGGAAATTACCTTGATACCGGTGGGAATTGTCTCTAACTGGGTTTTTGCCATTTCGGATAGAATACATTGTGGGTGAGAGATCGATTGGATCGTGTGGACTGCGGTAACTATATGTTGATCTAGTATAAACTCATAGGATACTTTGTTGGTGGCACGAATATCGCACAATAAGTATTCAATTTCTTTGCTCATCGACAAATCTGTGAGGAGATGGACTGGACAAGGTCAAAGGACTTGTTTGAGTATGGGGATAGACTTGAACATGAATAAAAGAGCCCCCGTCATGGTAGTTATTTGCGAATCTGATCCCTATTCCAATACCAGAACGCATTCCCCAAAGATCCAGATAACATACTTCCATCATCCCACTCCATTCCCCAGAGGTATACCTCCAGCATCCCTCCCACCCCTATCCAAAAACCACATCATCCTCCCCCTCTAACCCATCTTCAAATCTAAACATCAAATCACTTCTCATTGTATACTTAACCCCACTCGCCACGTCATCCCCACTATGCAACAATCTCCGATGTTGAAAGATCAACACCCTTCCCACCTTCGGATCAACATCCAACCTCTCCTTCATATCCTTCGAATGGAATGTCGTGGCCCCTCCTCTGAGCATCTCTGAATCTTTTGGAAATTTAGGTGTGTTAGGATCTTTCTCGAGTTCTTGCGCTGAATCATTAAGGTAGAGATGAATGGTAAAGAAAGATCGTTCGCTACCATCTGGATTTCCGTAGGCGCCATCGACATGTTCTATATTGTTGTGTTAGACAAATAGATCTCAACCTCCAGTGATAGGGAAGTAAAAAGAAATGAGAAACAAACCTCTAAAATACTGTCCAGGGCCATATCTCAAAAATCTCATACGCTCATTCATTCCCTGTTCAGTACCCATCCATCTCTCACCATTCCTAAGTCCCAAACTAGCCAATCCTTCCCAGTTCTTCCCCTCCAGTACTCCAATATCCTCTTTGATACCCTTTCCCTGAAGGACTCTCTTCCAAAGACGTGACACCACTTCTTTCTCATCCCAGATGATTCGATCCGAATTTCTATATTCCGTTGAGAGAAATTCATATCCCACACCTGCATTTACCATTGCGGGAGTCCATCCATTATTTTCTGGTCCTTTGAGTTCGTTTTCATTCTCATTTTCGTTCTCACCCCCATCACCACCCCCTCCTCCCCCGCCCACCAAATTCCCATGCCCCCCCTTACTCATCTCCGCCAACCGAATCAACTCCCCACACTCCTCTCTACTCATCACCCCATCCAACACCACCGCATACGCACCCCTATACTCTCTCAAAACCGTCTTCTCAAACTCAATTCTCTCCACCGTAATCGTCTCCTCTGGATTCTCTAGCGGTTTCAAAAAATCCTCCGGGATCTCAACAGGAAGAGATGTATAGTTCGTCTTGACGACATCGTAACCTCTTCTCCCACCTCCACTTTTCGCTTTCCGTTCTTTGATCGTTTGTTCTTTGGGATTGCTGTTTTGGAAAGAGCCTGTAAGGCGCGAGGCTGTGCCTTTTAAGTCAGAGAGAAAAGACATTGTGAGTTTAGTTGTGATATTTGTATGTACGATATATTATTTATTGTTAACAGAGAAGGGCCCTTTCACAAATAGAGGTCAATAAAGGAAAATGGTAAAGTTTAGAATCGAAGTAGAATAGAAAAATACAAAGTACTTGAGCTTTCCATGAGGCTACATTATGTTTTTGTAGTGGCTTTAATCGAGTCATCCAGGAAGTTGTTACCTACCTAGGTACCAGTAGCATCTTACTATGATCACACAGCCACCATCTGTATAAGGCTTAGCGTCCCAAGGCTGACTCCATGCCCAAACGACCCCTGCTAAGCGGGGATATATTGACATCATCATTCAGAGAACACATAGGAACGAAGTAACAGTGTATAATTGAGAGAATTATTATTATATTTTCAGTATTTTGGAAAGAAGACATGAGGAGCAACAATACATTGATTGCTGATACTGAACGAAAAAATCACTTATCTGTTATATCACTAGCACTGGCACTCGCTTTTAGAACAATGTAGAACTTCAGTGAGATGAAAAATTGGTAGGAAGAGATATATTATCAACCCAGATCTAGCTATACTGTGCATGTACAATAAAGTAGGTTCTAAAACTGTGGTATGTTGATTAATAACATCTTGTCTGCCTCTTCCACCCATTGGTCCATCCCTTGAAATTTTTCGCTGGAGAGGAGTGATGCAATGAAGACGAAACACGCGAAGGTATCTGATGCTTAATGCTAATTCGTAAGGATCGCTGATGGAGCGTTTGATTTGAATCTGAATGCTTATGCTGATGTAAAAGAGAAGATGAATGGGGATTTTGGCTTTGCCTCACACCAGGCCGCGCAAAGTTATGGGGGATATCGTTATGTAAAGTAGTGAATGATTCGGACTGATGAATAGAAGAACTATCATCATGATAGATAGAATCTCAGGCGAACCGTCACTTCACAATTCGACCATCGCTACTTCTTCCGGGATTTCCATCGATGCGCTTGCCTTGATCATTCTGTAAGACTTCAGTTGGACGAAAAGATGAAGAAGTCGTGGGAGAAGTGGGTTGATCCTGGGCGTACTCTTGATCATACTCATCGTCTGGATAGTCTTCACTTTGTGTTCCTTGACTGTGGTTTTGATCGGCTGGATTACCTTGCTGAGGGCTTTGGTGTTGATTTTGGCGATCCTGCGGAATTGACTTTGCTGCAGCTTTGCTACCCTTTTTTCCCTTTCGTCCTTTCGTCTTTGCCTTCTCCAATAATCGTTTCCTCTCTGCTTCCTGCTTCCTAATACGCCTGTCTTTCCTTTCATACTGCCTAATCAATGCCATGGGGAATTCGCCAAAGATACTCTTATATTCGCAAAACTCGCAAATCCAAATATCTTCAGGATTAGGAGGATGAGTTATGTTCTGATATTCTTGTTGTTGACGACGCTGGCGAGCGGCGATCTCATACTCTTTGCTCGCTCGACGTCGGGTTCTTTTTGGGGGTGCTGTTCGAGGGACACTTTGCTTCCGCGTTTGCGCCGATTCTTGAGATTTTGTCTGCATGTTTGAGCCTATCTGTGTTCCATGCGTCATCATTGACCTCGCAGCAGGACTTTGATGCATATTTGTATTTGTTGATCCAGGCCAAGGTCCTGGTGCCGGGACTTGAGAATCAAAAGTAAAAGTGAATTGAGTAGAAGTGGGGGTCGGTTTCTTCGATGCCTGTTGTTGCAACAAACTGATATTCTCTTGACCCCTCGGTGGAGTCATTGGAGGTTGTTTCTCGGCGTTTGCAATTGCAGTTGAGATGATCCCTGCATTCTCGTCTTTGCAATCGTCATCAGTAAAAATTTAGCACAGTCTGAATTTTTAAGAGGAAGAAAGCTTACTAGGTATGGGCCACTGGGGTTGTCGTTGTTTGGAATTGCGGCCATTGCCCCAGTTACCCGAAACGTCAGATAGAGTCCTTAAAGGGCTTCTACCATTGCGATTTCGGCCATATCTACCTCTTCCAGGACCTGACAACCCTTGAGATACTGAGCCACCAGCATGATAGTATCCTGAACCATTGACATCCTCCTCATCTGGACCAGATATTCCCATTCCTGCCAAATCGTTTGAGAGATGAACCCCATTAATATTTGAGTCTCCAGGTGTAGGAATCTTGCGTTTCTTTTTATTATTTGTATTCTCAAATGAGTCATAACCATCTGCAGAAGAAGCAGTTGAGCCAGGAGGGTGAGGATTTGAATGTTTGGAATCGGGCTTCTGAACATAGCGGTAGGAAGGACCAGAGTTATCAACTGACTGTCTTGGGTAAAGTCGCGTAGTACGGAAAACCTCTTCCTCTTCACTCTCTGGATCTTCTCCATTCCGCCGAGGGATATAATTTTGATCGATATTATCTGCCTGCGGGCGCTCACTTGGATGTGCAGCTTCTACCAGAGCGCTTGCCGCAACCTCATCTCGGACAGTATATGGATAGTAGAACAACGGAGTTTGAGTTTTAGGTGCGGGCGGGTATTTGATTGATTCGGCGACATTAGGAGAGAGGCGTTCACGGAGACTTCTTTTGGGCAGAGGTCTAATAGGACGTTCTGGATGTGCCGGCGATACAACTTCTGGAGACATAGCTCGCGATGATTCGGACGGAGAGTAGCCTAACAAGCATTCAAATACAGAGATCAGCCAATGCAATATACATGAGACAAAGCCCACCATGATTCCTGTTGTCAGGAGAAAATGTGTGGTTGTTTGCTGCTGCCAAATTGGTAGTTAAGAGTGGCGGAATCAATAATGAGAGGTGCCACGCTATGAGAATTTCATACTTGTGTTCATCACCGAGAAAGAGGACATGACATGCCAACTACCTCCAAGACTAAATTTGCGCTCTTCTGAAGGTTCGCGTACGGCAGAAATGTATTTGTTCTCTTCGATTTGAGGGACGGAATTAACTTTTCGTTGATTTTCCTTGAACTTTCCTTTCCTACAATAAATAACAAACACATCAGCCAGAGATCTCGCATACAGAATAGGGAAGTAATGACATGTAATTTGTCATCCCTATTCCCAAACCAAAACCCTGAAATGCCAACCATCTCAAGAGACTGAACATAATTTCCCCCCTTTTTTTTTAATGTCTGAGGAAGAAATCCGTATAGAGTTGCATACTTTGAATGTTTTGATTGCGAATACTCAGCAATGATTTCGAGAGGGGGGAAGCCCTAGGAAGATTTATTGACGACTTTGAACCCCACGGACAACAGAATAGTATGAGAGTCTGTGTTTATCTCTCTTATCCAATATAACCCTTTCGAAAAACCGAGTGATGGTAAGAACAATGAATATTCAAAATCGGAGGGGACAAGTTCGAATTCCGAAGATTGAATTCACTGATGTTCAGCGACCTTGGGGCGAGATAGAAATTAATTTGTCAATAAAGACGTTAATTATTAGTCGTTTCCAGTCTAACAAATTGGTTACGTTCATTGAACCGAAGATGTTGATGCCCTCCAAGTGCGTTAGCTAAGATTAGATAGCTAAACTTCAATAGGGAAGGTGTGGATTAGAGTACCAAATGATTTAGAAATCACGTTGATGAATGTGTGGGAAAGTGAAGGGGGAAGACATTAATGCTGGTACCTGGATGCCCGCAATGCTTTATGGAAGATTTCATTGGTACAGCAGTATCTAGGTAGGTGGGTGGGTGTATTAATCATTCATCTATCTATATTTATCCGCCTACTGAGATACTACTCATCGAAACTATATCTACTTCATCGACAGTATTTCCTTGATGGATGACAACAAGCACTAGCTACAGGTCACAAATACTTATTAACGGTATTGATGGGATAAAGTCAATTGCTAAAAATACAGTACAACCTACTGCCTAGGTCGGTACTCATGCACGCCGTAGAGATACTAGCACTGCTGAACGACTTTTGATTGATGTCATCTAGATCACTTATTATTAATCCATACCTACCACCTATGATTTAAGTTACCCAGTAGAGACTTGAGTTATACGGAGCATGACTCTGTAGATCTCGGTACTAATTAAGTATTTCGCTTGTGATAAGTAAGTATATCGATAGAAAAAGTTCAATTGTTACTAGATTGACCACCGCCTTACCATATCTATGTTTACTCTTATATTATTAAATTAATCAATCAAGCGTCATCTGAAAATCTCTTCGATTTACAGTATAGGTATGTGTGTATATGTCTATATGTATATATACTGTTTACTGTTTACTGATGGGGGCAAACCCCCAGACCCCCATAGCTCGCTGCGCTCGAAGGTGTCTTTCTTTCCTTTTCATATAGTCTGCCTCCACGGCAGTGGCTCCCAGAGGGCCGGCGGAGCGTCATTCAATCAATTGATGGTAGAAATCTTTTCAGAGATATTTCCATATCTAAGGCTCTCTTCAACCACTCGATCTATTAAAAGTATAAATCTTACAGTAGGCGATATAAGGCAATGGTACCTCCCAAGTATTATGCTCATCAGTGGCTGGTCATTTTGTGGATGATGCGATAGGTCCATGTAAGTTATCATTGGTTTATGCTACTGTCTATATAAAAGAAAAAAAGAGGAGAGAAGAACCAATTGCGTTTAGTAGCTATTAAATATTAACAAGGAAATATGAAGGTAATATTCTCATTGGTTAATCTTTTTCCATTAGTCACTCCAAAGTATACTTTCGCTCTTCACATTTTCCGAATGGAATTTGGCCTATGCCTACCTATGCCTAACCACAATACTCACTAGGGAATTTGGCGGGGACGAAAGGGCAGCTTTGAATCTAGCAAATTATTTCCTTTCGCTCTTCCTCACTCCTCACTCTCTGAACACCCGCAGTCATGATTACACCAGGAAACTTTACCCACCTTCCTATTTATCAGATCGCATATCTTCGGGTTCCAATTTGGTTCTCTAAGCTCTAATCGATACTCAATCGTTTTCCAAATCTCACCCTGCCTTCCTTTTCTTTTGATTTGACTCTTGGTTTTGGTTGGGGAAGTCTGGAATTAAAAAGCTTCTCATCGAAGTAGGAGGAGGACTTCAATTACGATCTCAATTCACAAATTACACATTACTTACACGCTCGACATTTACCAGAATATTAATCTATTTCGCACACACGAAATCTCGAATTCGATACTACCTTTGTACTATTATAATCATTGGGAATGGATACTACTAGGCGTTCGTCAAGGGCTGCTCGAGGCAGTCAACCTTCTCAAACTAATTCACATCATTCTTCAGCTTCCTCAAATTCCTCTAGTCGCGCAGAGAGATCTACTCGCTCAAATAATAAAGTCGAATCTCCACGAAAGTCGACTCCAGCTGCCTCACTTTCCTCGGACTCTCCCGACGACGCAATCACGGCCGAAGATAGTTCCTCGACACGTCGAAAGCGAGGACGAGTTGATGGAGGGGATAAGATACAAAAAGGACAATTAGTTGATGAAGACATAGTCGTTGGTGTAGATGAGGGAGGCGATGACGATGAAGCTGTTCGATGCATCTGCGGTTACGATGAATATCCCGGACCGCCACAACTCGAGGACGACGATAACAAGAATAATATAAAAGATGGAATTGAGGAGCCAGTCATAACAGCAGCGGATTTTACAGAAGACTTGGCTGGATTTTTCTTACAATGCGACGTTTGCAAAGTCTGGCAACACGGTGGATGCGTTGGAATTATGAACGAAGATACGAGTCCTGAAGAATACTTTTGTGAACAATGTCGTAAAGAACTTCACAGAATTCGTTCGGCGTCAAATGGGTGAGTCCTTTCGTTTTCGCATCAATCACATATACCCCCATTCGAGAGATTCACTCGAATTGTCAGCATCCACGCGAGACCGTGGCGCAGATCCGAGTCTCACAAGATTGATTTCTTTAATTGCGCAAGAACCTTAAACAAATAATTCCAACCCAAGAAAAAATGGGTGATAATTCTGACGTGATGGATCGCAGACAACGCTACTCTTTATACCTTCCCCTTCACCCGAATCTCTCCAGAACAACATCTCGAGCGGCTTCATTTTCCAAAGACGGCACAAGATCACCGAAGGGTGGCAAGAATGGTCGACCCAGCTCCAGCTCTGCGAGCACAAAGAGACGCTCGACAATGAATAGTAGAGATGCCGCGTACTTTGAAGCTGCCGAAGAAGAAGCACTTCGAAAAGCCATAGCAGCTAGTGTCGCAGATATCCCAGAAAGTATTGACGGCCGGAGTCGCAAAGCAAAAAGAAGTCGAAGTGACAGCGAAGAGTAAGTAAATGCCATTCTATCAGTGTAAATTATTCTAATCATCTTAGTAGCAAACATGAAGTACCCAAAAGGCAACGGACGGACTCGGCTTCTCCTACTCCTGAAGATGATGAAAAACCACAAGAGGCACCCCACTCTCAAGCAGAATCTGAGGACAGCACAATCGTGGGAAATGGTCGATTTGGAGCAGCTAAGAAGATAAGGGGAGCAGCAGCTAAAAACCATAGAGAAAAGGAATTAAGGGAAGAACGAGAAAGGTCGAGGCTGGAAGCCGCAAATAAAAGAAAAGGTCGAGCTGAACGGCGAAGAATTGAAGGTCGGTACACCTAAATGCATTATGATGTAGCAATAACTCACAGTCGCCTAGATTCGGAGCCTATTGAGGAGACCCCGCCAGCGATAAAACCTCCAAGCAAGAACCCCGAGGTATCTGCACAACCTCCAGATCCGCCCCCAGTGTCACAAACGATAGCGCCAGATACACCTCCTCCAGTTCTGCCTCCAATTTCGCATAAGAAGGGTGGCAGACCTCCCAACCCTCGAAAGGGTAAATCTGGCAAGAATCAATACACTAGGGAAAAGGACGATAACAACGCTCAATCTCCCAATCGATCTCAATCTAGAGATATTCCACGTGCAGACGATAACGTACAAACAACGACTAGCAGAGCTCACAATGAGAGCAAGACTAGTAAGGCAAAGAGCAGCGTAGGAAGCAAAATTAGTATGGCTGAGATGAGGAAACGTGCTACAAATATCCTCGATTTCATATCACGAACTCAAATTGAATTGGCTGCAGACCCGTCAATACTTCCAAGTGGCAGTGGAGCAGAGAAAACTATTCGGGGACTGGTCGAAGAAACTCTCCCTATGATACAACTTAACGGCGCAAATGGAAAACAGGTGGCTCGAGGCGAAAGTGAAACACCAAAGGAATTCAAGGATTTAACATGTCTGGAAATGATGGACATTCTTACTAGGCAATTAGTCAAATGGCAAAAGGAGTATGCATGAAATCTGGCGGGTCAACGAATGTGGGTTTTTATATTACTGGTTTTGGGGTTGGAGTTTGTATGTATATCATGGGTTTCGAATGGCTACACGGCGCCTAGAGGCATATTGATTCTATACCCTACTTCACGGCTACGTTAGTTAATGGCATTGGCATTATTCATAAGTTAGACTTTTCAAGCTGTTTGTTAATCGTGATGAGATGGGAGTGGTTCAGCTAGTCAATCAGTCGTCTAAGGACAGTGGCTTATTGCTGCACGACTCACGGCTTATTATGTGGTATTTTGTTATCTTGAAGGGTCGTACCTGATTGTACATGTGACAAGTTGCGGCTGGACGGAGAAAAAGCGAGATTCAGCTAAGAGATACCCGCTTCTTTACAACCTTACGCGGATGGCGCCGCAAAATATGCAAATGGATAGAATAGGATATGATAGATACCCCAGTAGCAAGTGTGAACAGATTGTGTACGAACACAAAGGGAATCTCTTATACATGCATGGCCATCCAATACTTTTAGCTGCAACTTGTTAAGTATCTTGTTGTCTTTTTGTCTTTTGTGTATTGTACTTCTGTAGATGATACTACAGTAAACTTTCTATATTTTATAGTTTGTTAGATTCTCGATTCGAAATGGATTTTAAGATGGACCTTGAAGTCAAGGGAAAAGTAGCCATCGTCACTGGCGCGGGTTCAGGTACTCTCCTCCCTCTCAACCCCCACCCTAATTTTCCCCTCTCACATACAATCTCCAGGTATAAATCTCGCCTTCGCAAGTCTCCTCCTCTCAAAAGGTTGCAATGTCGTAATAGCCGACCTCTCTCTCCAACCCGCCGCAACCAAACTCCTCACCACCTACACCTCTACTTCCCCAGATTCCTCATCCTGCAATACCCCCACACTCCCACAATGTCTATACCACTCTACCGATGTCACATCCTGGCCTGCACTCACCTCCCTCTTCGAATTCACAATCTCCCATTTCCCAGCAGGAATAGACATTCTCGTCCCCGGCGCCGGACTTTTTGATCCCCTCTATTCCAATTTTTATAACCCCCCCAGAACCCCCCTCTCCCAAGATACTCATCATCTACACCCCCCTCCCTCTCTCAAACATACCCCCGAAGTCACACATCCAACTCCCCCATCTCCCAAAATCAACCCCTTCCCCGGCTCCTTCCACACCCTCAACGTAAACATCACGCACCCAATCCGTCTCACGCAAATGGGCGTCGAGTATTGGACCTCGTCCAAAAGAAGTGGAAGAGTAATCTGTGTGGGGAGTGTAGCGGGTCAAATAGGAGTTATGGAAACTCCGCTGTACCACGCGAGCAAATTTGCGATTACGGGGTTTGTGAGGAGTGTGGCGGGGTTGGAGGAGTTGGGGATTAGGGTCACGGCTATTGCGCCGGCGCTTGTGCAGGTGAGGTTTCTTTTTCTTTGTGTTTTGGTTTGGGTTCTTGTTGTTTGGAAGGAAGGGCAGGATCTTTTTGGGCGGAGATGCGGATGGATATGGAGATGAGTAGACTATATTGACTTTTTCAAAGACACCAATCTGGTCCCATCAACCCGACAAAATGACCATGTTAACCTCCGATCAAAAATGGATCTCCGCCGAAACCGTCGCAGAAGCTATGTTAGAACTACTTACTCGAGAAGACTATGTAGGCGGGACGATTTTGGAAGTCAGTGGGTGTGGGACTAGGGTTGTGAAGATGATTGGGGTTAGTATTCTTTCTATTCGTGTTGTATTTTGGGATATAGAGGGAAAATGGCGGGAAGGAGCGCAGGAATAAACTGTGATGTATGTGTGTATGAGGAGATTGAAACTAATTTGTGTGGATGTAGGATGAAGGACCGACGTTTGAACCGGGGTATATGATTGGGAATTTGGAGGGGTATAAGGAGGAGATTTATAAGAAATTAAAGGAGGGGAAGATGGGGATGTGATGGGTTGTGATTTTCGGGCATCAGGCTAAAGAATGGAGATGAACACGATGGGATAGAGGAAGTAAATTGAGAATGTTGCATCTGTGGGAATTGAGACTGGCTTCAACAGCTTGCTCTTGTTACTGTATTAGACAAGATTTGGTGTTGAGTACATTCACGTGGGGTAGATAATCGATGATGAAAAAAGAAGTCTAATCATTGCTGCGGTATACTACATGTGACACAAAGCTCATCGCTATGCTCAATCTAACAAACCCACTCCCTTTCTAGGCACTAAATCCACTATATTCTTTGTTGAAAGCTCTTCCTATCACCACTTTCCTGACTTCAGTAGTTCCAGCACCAATTTCATAGAGCTTTGCATCACGCAGTAATCTCGAAGCAGGCATTTCTTCGACATAACCCATGCCACCCAACAATTGTATGCAATCTAATGAGACTTCCGTGGCTCGCTCAGCAGCATACAGAATAGCTCCAGCACAGTCTTGTGTTCTGATATTGCCTGTTTCATCAACAGTCCTTGCTGTATCATATGTATAAGCTCTCGAAGCTTGTAGCTTGGTATACATATCTGCAAGTTTTCCCTGAACGAGCTGATTATGTGCGATAGGTTGACCGAATTGCTTGCGTTGATGTGTAAATGGAAGCGCAACATCCAGAGCAGCTTGCATGATACCTAATGGTCCAGCACTTAATACTAACCTCTCAATATCAAGTCCTTCCATCAGTACTTTGACTCCTCTGTTGACTTCGCCCAAGATATTTTCTTCGGGCACAAATACCCCCTCGAAAACTAGTTCTCCTGTATTACTTCCTCTCATACCCATCTTGTCTAATTTCCTCGCACAACTGAAACCCTTGAATCCTTTTTCGACTAAGAAGGCAGTAATTCCTTTCGAGCCCTTCTCAGGCTCAGTCTTCGCATAAACCACAATAAGATCTGCATCTGGTCCATTGGTAATCCACATCTTCGTTCCATCCAAGACATAGCCACCATCTACTTTCTTCGCTGTCGTCCTCATACTGACAACATCACTCCCTGCACCACTCTCACTCATAGCCAATGCACCAATCTTACTCCCATCAATCAACCCCGGCATATACTTCATCTTCTGGTCCTGATTACCATTCAATTGTAATTGATTAACACACAATTGTGAATGTGCAGCATAACTCAATCCAATACTACCCGAGGCACGAGATATTTCTTCCATCACAATACAATGTGCTTGGTAACCCATAGCCAGTCCGCCTACATCTTCAGAAGCAGTTATACCAAGGAACCCTGCATCGCCGAATTTTTGCCACATAGAATTTGGAAATGCATTCGATTTATCGGTTTCGGCTGCGAGCGTTTCTGGGATTTCTCGTCGTGTAAATTCTTGGACTCGTTCGCGGAGCTCGATCAGATCAGAGGACGTTGGTGGCTCGAAACCAGCAGGGTGCTTGGATGATGCATTACGTCGACGGATTGTGGATATAGGGACTGAAGGTTTGATGTGTAGATGAGATATAGGTCTAGTGGTGAGGGAACGAAGACATTTTAATGAAGAAGCCATTTTTGTTCTGGTGAAAGTGTTGGAAGAATTGAGAGAGTATGTTTTCTACATTGTTTTAGGTTTTGTAGATGTGCACCGTAACTGTAAACCCTTCCTAGCTAGCTTGGACCGAGGTTTTCCGGGGAAACGCGGGGCCGCATCTAGCCGTCGAGCCTATTCCCGCTTCGTCTATTGAGATCTTGTCTCAAAACAAATGTTTAAATGTCCATGTGAATATCTCACTTTTTTGCTGTCACTGCAGCATAACTTCTATCACAATGGCTTCACTCAGAGCTTCCAGGATTCTACCCAGTCTCTCTAGGAGATCTCTACGACCAATATATCACAAAGGAACCTCCATTCCTTCTCGAACAATTGCTACCTATTGTGCTCCAACCCAAGCAAAAGCCATCTCCGTTCTTCCGACAAACATCGATACTTCTTCAGAGGAATATACTCAAAATGAGTCCCAAATGAAACCTCTTCTCGATCACCTCTCTACTCTCACCGCCAAAATACATCAAGGTGGTCCTCCCAAAGCACGTGAAAAGCATATTGCACGCAAAAAGATGCTTCCTAGAGATCGTATTACTGCACTCATAGATCCAGGTACTTCATTCTTGGAATTGAGTGCATTGGCAGGTCATGAGCTTTATCCTGAGGCGGATGTACCTGCTGGTGGGATTATTACGGGGGTAGGTGTCATTGAGGGAGTAACGTGTATAGTGGTTGCAAATGACAGTACCGTGAAAGGAGGAACATATTATCCAATTACTGTAAAAAAACATTTGAGAGCACAAGAGATTGCGAAGGAAAACAATTTACCGTGAGTTTTGGTTCAATTGATGTACACGCTTGTTAGATACTGATATTTTACAGTTGTGTCTATCTGGTAGATTCGGGTGGAGCCAATCTTCCACATCAAGCAGATGTCTTTCCAGATCGAGAACATTTTGGTCGAATTTTCTTCAATCAAGCAAGAATGAGCTCAATGGGAATCCCGCAAATAGCTGTGGTCATGGGTCCTTGCACAGCAGGTGGTGCTTATGTTCCCGCCATGTCTGATGAGAGTATCATCGTAGGTGAACAAGGTCACATTTTCCTAGCTGGTCCGCCTCTAGTAAAAGCCGCAACTGGAGAAGTTGTAACAGCTGAAGAATTAGGAGGTGGAAATATGCACAGCTCTGTATCTGGAGTAACAGATTATCTCGCCGTCGATGATGCTCACGCCATAGTCCTTGCCCGCCGATCCGTTAGCAATCTTAACTGGCCCACCAAATCATTTCCACCCTCAGAATCTTACACTGAACCCCTCTATTCTCCCGAAGAACTGACTGGAATCGCTACAACTAATCACCGCAAGCCTCTTCCCATCCATGAGGTTATCGCTCGTATTGTAGATGGAAGCGTCTTTTCCGAGTTCAAACGCGACTATGGCTCTACTCTCGTGACAGGTTTTGCCCATATCTACGGTCACAAAGTCGGTATCATAGCCAATAATGGTATTCTCTTCTCTGCGTCCTCCCTCAAAGGCGCCCATTTCATCGAGCTCTGCACTCAACGCAAAATCCCTCTCATTTTCCTGCAAAATATCAGCGGATTCATGGTAGGTACTGATGCTGAACGCGAGGGTATTGCGAAGAATGGTGCGAAACTAGTCACCGCAGTTGCTTGTGCTAATGTACCCAAGTTCACCGTTGTGGTTGGTGCTAGTAATGGTGCTGGTAATTATGGTATGTGTGGTCGGGCATATAGTCCTCGATTCTTATGGATGTGGCCCAATGCACGAATTGGAGTAATGGGAAGTGAACAATTGACAGCTGTCATGGAGACTGTTGGAAAGGCTGTTGATCCAGAACTCAGAGATAGAATTGATAGAGAGAGTGAGGCAGTTTTCTCAAGTGCTAGGTTATGGGTATGTTGTCTTCCGTAATTGAGATGGAATTGAGGTGACTAACAGAGTATCTAGGATGATGGAGTTATTCCACCAAGTCATACGAGAAGAGTTTTAGGTTTGAGTTTGATGGCTGCATTGGGTGGTAAGAATGAACCGGTAGATACCAAATTCGGCGTCTTTAGAATGTAAAATAGTACTTCAGGATGTTAAATTATATATGACTTATATGACTTATATGCTCTTTACGCTCAGTTAGACTATTCTTTTGGAGTCCAGCATTATACTACAATTATACGCACATTTTCTATTCCCAAAAGGGCAAAGACTAGCTATCTGTGACTTTCATAAATACCGACTTATCGACAATCTCAGGTATGCCTATCACTTAACCCCGCCATGAGCTCTTCGACAGAATTTAACCCGTGTACAGGCTTTCACTCTGAATGCGATCGATACATTTTCACGCAATTATCGAAATCTGGTAGTAGTCTATCAATGCAGGAAACTTGTGATTCGAAGCTTTTTAATCTTAGCATAGTTCACCTGCCTACTTGGGATATAACTGCAGGACAATGTTAATAATTTGTCACATGATGATTAACGGGTTGTAAGCTTGTTACGTGAAGCTCATCGCCAGAACTATACAAAAGAATCATTCCATGATTTCCATTGAAACATTCTTGGATTGAACTCAACATCGAGATCATCTAGAAGCTTTTTGGGTTATTTCCACGTCGCAATCTTTTCATCATGATTTCAGAAGATAACTTGCCAGTTCTCATTGTTGATCTCTCGTCTTTCACATGCGGAGGTGATCTCGGATGGCGCAGACGAGCAGCCAAAGAGCTAGCCGAGAAAGAACGGACAAATGGAAGTGCAGGCATATCCGACCATGGGATTTCATCTGACACACTCGAAGAGGCTATTACATTGGTTAAAAAGCTTTTCGATCTTCCATATCATGATATAGTGAAAGCGCCCTATCCAGATGGTCTCTTTCCACATAGAGGATATTCTGAGATGGGCCGAGAAAAGGGAGCAGCTAAGACTGCGACAGAAACATATAATGAATTGGAAGAGGAAACATATTTAAATGCTTCGGACTACAAGACATGTGTTCGTTGTGGTCGTTCTTTAACAGTCATGTTAATGATATGTGTTGGTTCGAAGCTATGTTAGAGCTACGAAATTGGCAGTGAGAAGAATAAACTTCAGCACAGTATCTGGCTCCCGGAGGAAGTTATCCCTGGGTTCCGTAAAGATACCTTGGATCTTTTCTAGAAGCTAAAATACACAGCTAACGCCTTTCTTGATACCTTATAATCAGTTTGGACTTGGCAGAGCCGGAAACGAAAAGCATTCGAGACTTACATACTGGTTATGAGAGTTAACTTCGTTTCTCTCACCGTTATTCAAGCTTCGACGGACTTTTCTTAATTCTTTCATGCATCTTAAAGTATCATTTATTTCCAATTGGATTCTGCGAGAATCTCAGTATGGTCACAACATAACTGTCACCAAAGAGCGGAGTTAAGAGGTTTCAAGTGACACTGAAGCGTCTATAGCTAAAATTCGAAGAACTCGGATTCCAAGGAGCTTTCACTAGCTATGTCTAAGTGATAGGCTCATATATACGAGCGTGTATATTCTAGTGATAACAAGCAGGCTGTTGACTAGCCGGATTCGTGAATATATAGTAAAACTTGCCGATCTAACTGTCTCAACCAGTATTTATGCTCGATTTCAATTCCAAACTCGGATATTTTCGAAGAAAGTATAATATGACAATAGCGAATTAAGATTATTTAGTCCATTTCACTATCAAGTTTATATCGGATTAGAAAAAAAAAGATTGATGTATTGGTTTTGCTCGATAATCCGGTATTGCTAGACACAAAATAGTCGAGTTGGGAGATTGTTCTGATACATCCGAGTTTCCGTTATATCCCCGTTCGGTATAGCCAAGTTTTATGGTAATATATTTCAGATCCATATGTCATTACTGGCAAAAGTTATTGGGGTTTAAAGGTCCGCCAATAAAGCGTGCTTGCAGAATTCAAGCACCTATTGCTTGCTCAAATACATACAAGGCTAGGTCCCTCCCCAGATGTTATTTACTTGAGAAAATCAATGATTTATTTCACATCATCCTGTACTTAACTGATAAATCCCAACATGCTGACTGAATCTACAGAATTCTTGTTACATTCATCTGATACTCTATTAAATGTATAAGAACATTAGTCTTGTCGTAAGTCCAAGAGTTTGTCAATGATTGCAATTGAACGCATTTCTAGTAATCCTCTCATCTTCCAACACATAAGGATAACTACTCCAGGATCCGATACTAAAAGGCAGCAAGGTCCACATTATCACTGAAAACCGAATGATAGCTTTGAACGACTGTGTTCATCTCTTTCGATATATTCGGTCATGTATCACAGTTGCTTTATCTGTGGTGTGCTCTTAGCTCATGATAATGACCATTTTCATCAATGGTGTAAGAGATTGGTGCTCGTAAGTTACACTGCAAACGAAAAAAGTGAGATAGTAACATCAGCTGTATCATAGTCTGTTGGTTTGAGGGTCAACTAGTCCTCAGTGGCCAAGGTCATAGAGTTCGTAGCAAAACCCCTTCCTCAATCCCTGTTCTTGGAATCACTCGACTCTTTACTGGACCAAGGTTAGATAAAAAAGACGGCACTTGCTACCCATTTCAAGCCGCCTGTTGGACAATATTCGAAGAGATAGCTCCAAGGAACTTTCTTATCGACAACCGCATCGAAACCCTCTTCAAGATATTTGAAGGCTGCCATTAAAATTTCCATACTGGTATCCTAAGCTGGGGGCACAACTATCCTTTCGAGGATATCTTGGAGGCTTTAGACAAACAAGAACGAAGTCTAATCCAGCACCCAATAATCGACTACCCACTTGTAAGTCAAGGGAGACTGCATGCTATCCCTATCCCTCAACCAGATCCATACCATGAAATCGATATCGTTGGGCTACACTTCCGTTTAGCTACTTGTTACACTTGATGGTTCTCACAAGATCTGACATCTCTCAGCTTCGACCATCTTGAAACCAACCCCTCCGTCTTGAATAAACGGCCAGAAGATGAACACCAATCGCTTTATCAGTCGATAGTTCCAAATCATACAGACAACTCGACTACCCCAGCAGAAAGTGTACCTCTTGACTTTCAGAATGACGTCATATTCCCTCCTGATTCTAGACTGTCATCGTTACCGAATGAAATAATCCATTATATTATGTACAAACTCTCATTTAGCGATACCTTAAATTTGCTACAAGCTTATAAACGAGATGTTCATTCTTTACCATCAACATTTTGGGAGTCTAGATTTCGAGTCCAGTGCAAATTCGGCTTCGCACGAGTGCCGTGTTTGCCTAATTATACCTGGAAAGTATGGGTTCTCGGGGTTAAATCTGAAATGAGCTCTGATCATGGGATGGGGCTCATAAACCGCAAGCGAATTTGGAAACTAGGTATTGAGATGGTCAGCTTGATGCAAGCCATTCAGGAGCCTAGAAGATTTTTGCACGGTGACATTGTCACAGATGTCCCAAATCAACGGCACCGCTCTACCGTGAGTTGCCTGGCCTTGAAGAAGGATATGAAGGGATGTAAACAATTCACACAGAGGTCTATATATTGGGGAGAAACGCATGTTATATCACAACTTTATACTGTGACACCGTTATATGTGGATATTCTGGAGCGGCGACTTGTCTCGGGCCGCACATTTGGATTTCGTGACAGCCAGTCTGTGAACATAGGCTACATTGTAGGGCAACGTAATTACTTCGTAGCTTCAACTTCACCTAAGATTCTATGGGTGGTTGCTAGTTCGCTGGGCTTTGAGAATATTGCAATCAATACCTATCCGCATTCATTTCTCGATAGCTTATATGAGCTTGCAGTGAGCAAGTGGAGCCTAGAAAATCTTATGGGTATTTCTGTTGGTCTTGGTGTAAGACAAGTACACAACCCTGATATAGACCAGTCAATTAATATCCATAGGCTCTTCGAATTGTTAAAATTTGGTCAAACTTTAAAAAACAAGAAACTGGTCTCGATAGCGTTCTCTGGACACATCCATGCCCGTCAAATATACCTTCGATGCTGGACGATGACATTGTCGCTCTGCACGATTTACAAAACAATTCGTTTGCCCCAGCATCAGCCCTGTATATCAAACCAGAGAATGGCAATCTTGCCGCAATTAAAGTATATTCGCCGCTAGGGTTCTGTGCTGGTATCAGGGGTATCTAATTTATCTACAGTACAGGTATACGAAGTACGTGGTGCTCTGATTATGATACTGCTTCATTGTCGGTTTTCCTTCGTGACTCTGAACATCTTGTCATAGTTAAGTTCTATAAGGTCATCTCTGTAGTCTACCATTTACAAGTAAGTATGTCTAAAAATTTGTAGTGAGTACATGCTTAGCTAGAAGTTTAGTTCATCACCGATCTGAATCAGATAAGCGAATTCATGCCCCTAGCACCAATGAGTCAGGAGTTTCTTTCGATTGTGTTGAATAGAGTGCTTTGGACAACAGATATATTTGGTCTTTGTGGTTGTTTTATAGTATGTTGGCCATCCAAAGAATACTGAGCATTAGCTAATTCTGGTCGCAGAAATCCGAGCAGCAGTTGAACTGTTTTGGAATTATATAATCCACAACTGTGGCATCTTCGAAATCAATTTGGGTCTCTTCAGCGGATCAAGATAGCTTTGGATACTTATCTCGAGAAGAGACTCTCGGAGATGGCGAAAATTATGGCGAGTTTGGACGTCGATTGCTGCTAGACAAGAGGCTTCAATCGATTCAACTTTCCAAGACCACAGTTTCGACAAGATACTGTCACCCCAACCAAGTCACCGATCTTCTTTTTCTTTCAGTAGATAGCAGCTGTTCTGAGCTACTCGGAAAATTGACTGAGATGGGCGAAAGTGGATGAGTGGATCGTCGACTTGGAAATTTTTACAATTGACTCATTTATGTTCGACTTGAGCCATGGGTTATCACAAGTCAAAAGGTCAATCATCGTCTCAAGTCAAAGGAGGATCGAGTTAGAATCCGAGATTGTACAAACTGCTCATGATCTTTCAAACACACAATTGCATAAGCGAAGAGTATCAGAGATCACTTGGGAATTTAACGCCATGTACGATCGCGTACGATGAACTTATCAAGAAGATTGAATAAGGCGAATTGATCAACATATTAACATGTCTATTCGCCATCGATGTTTAAATCGTCTCCTAATAATCTTACGGGACTTACTTTTCCCAACCTTACATTGTCAGGGCCGCACTCCCATACACCCTCTAGACGGGTGTCGTAGACAACATTCTGGTTCTCATTCTCATTCTCACTGAGATACTAAGTTTATAGGCGTCACTAATACGATTATGAGCATTGAGAGAAACATGTCCTATGAAATAGGTTAATGTTGAATGACTTGTTAAGCATTCAGCCGGTAAGCCGGCAGATGAACAATGAACAATGAATGTCAACTGGCATCCGCGGAGTATATCCTTATGTATTATTTGTTGAATCTGCGATAGCAGATACTTCGCTACCATAATGAAGGAGAAAATCTATCTTCCGACAAACTTGCCACGGATAAGATAAAGGAGCTTGTTGTACTCTTGGTAACTATTCAAAGATACACAGACGACTTCCCCTAAAAAGTCAAGTGATTAGTCTAGGCACAAAAACAACACTAGCATTCATGAATGAAAATAGCGAAAGTATTCGGAACTTGATTTGAGCGACAGGTCATATTATGATGTGATATTCTCGAGGCACCAATGAAGGATTTCCATTATCAAACAATGCTAACCTTATCCACTCCGCGTTACCTTTCCAGTGAAATCGTCTCAAAGTTACAGCCTCCTTCATCCTTCCAAGCTCTAATATCATTATCACCTATTGCCTACTAGGAAAATACACTTGATGCTTTTGGCGGCCTGATATTGCCTTCGGTGTACCCGTCGGTTCGGTTCATTCAGCGTTGTGTTGGTGTTTGAAGACCTAAATCCTTCGGTTGCGCTTACAGGAAGAAACCCGGGGTAGCCTCAATTGTAAACCCAGAATGTGCCGTCGCAATACTATCACGAATCTATTTATTGGCACTGGTCATTTGTTAGCTAGCCATGATTGTCTTCACGAGCCTCATTTGATGCCAGACAATTTCAAAGCATCAGGATTGACCAAACTCAGCTATGACCTGGGAAGTACTGACTCAAAAGCATTAGACATGCATTCGATAACTGATAGGATTCAAAGAGAATGTAAAAGAGTTTAGCTATGGATTTTAGAGTCTAGACAAGAAATCGACAGTCTTAGAAGGATGATGAGAATCATGAGATATGGTATCCTAATGATGTTACATCAAAAAGCATAAACCCATCCTTGTGAAAAATAATCAATGTAAAATCGAATACCTCATAGGCTTCGATCGTGACCGCAGCTAGGGAACTTACGTAGCCGCGCGAGACATGATTTGTTTGGAGATGAAATGAACAGAAAATGCAACACTCTTCGAGGAGAAATCCTTCGTCGGTTTACACCTTCCATTTTAGTGAAAGATTTCAAGTGAAGCGAACATGCTTCAACATTACTTTCTGGAGGTTTAGAAGTTTCAATAAAGAGACGGTCTATGCTATGTCAGGTTGGGGGCGCGGCCCGCCTCAAATTGTGACCGCAGAGAGCGCCTGGCAATTGTTGGAATAAGGATTTTGTCAATGTTGTAGTAATTTCTTTGACATGGGTGTTTGGGGGAAAAAGCTTCTTTTGACAGAGTAACAGTACGTTTTAGATGCAAGTACAAGTGTTACTGTTGCAAGCTTCGTGGCTCAGTCGTTTGATCCTCCTGCTTTCCTGCTATCATCGTTCTCCAGCTGGAAATCTATAAATCTGAAGATTCCCACCACATGGGAATTAAGCTTTCCCTATACTATTCACAGCAATTGAAGAATATTATTGATTAGTTCCGATCGAATTGTCATTAGCATAAGTTTATATTCCACAAACCTTATACACAATCAACCATGCAATTTCCAAGCACCATCACACTCCTCTCACTCCTCGCCACCACAGTGTTTGCTGATCTTGGATCAATAATCGCTGATGGAACATCCGTCGGGGGAGAGGCTTCTGGCACCGTAAATACTATCACATCAGATTACGCCCAAGCTCAGGCTACTCAAGACGCCCCTTCCACAGCAATATCCTCTCTATCCTCTGTCACATCCATAGAAGCCACAGCCACCGGCTCTGCACTATCTTCTCTCTCATCTGAAGCATCATCCCTCTCTGAAGCCGTCTCTTCAATCTCCAAATCCCTTTCCAAATCCATCTCTCAAGCTTCCACATCCAACGCCGCATCATTGAGCTCCCAATCCAAGATTGTGACATCTGCCCAAGCACAGGCTACGAGTATCAGCGCTGAGATCAGTAGTTTGGAAAGCATGGCAAGTACGGCTACCGGAAAGGCACAAACTGAGGCTTTGGAGAGCGCTAGTAGCTTAAGCTCGAAATTCGCAAGCGCTAGTAGTGTCGCTAGTGCCGCGGCTAGTGCTACTACTGCTTCCGGAGATTCTCCAGAGAAGTATGTCCCAGTTTGGGGAGCTATGGTTGTTGGAGCTATGGGGTTGTTGATCTAAGAATTTGAGCTTTCTCTGAAACATTGAGAGGGTTTTTTTGGAGAATGGGGTTGCTATATATTCTGCTTTTTTGTAAAGAAGAAGATTAAACATACGCGATGTCTCGTTTGGAGGCTCTATCAATTGAAAGTTTCCTAGTTATTCAACCTTCTCTTTTGTTTGGATTTTTGTTATCTGGTTGTTGTTAGAAATGTATGTTGCGCGAATACTAGCTGGGCGAGCTAGTCCTCTCACCCTCGTTCACCCAAACACTAGAATTCTCTAACAACCTTGGTATAAATTGCATTGCATATAGAGCTCGCTCTTTCGAGATCATCACCACAAATACATACAATTGAAGTCTGGTGCTAGAAGGTCAAAGCTTGTATCATTATCGCCAAGTCCATGGAAGCTCCCTGGCTATAAAGTTGAAAGAGATCGTAGGGTTTGCCGAAGTAGCTAGTCCAGGACTGTGGGGGTTCGTAAGCTTGAGGAAGAGTTGTAGGTCACCGAAAAATCACTTAGATCAGGGAGAGAGCTCACCAAGGGATACCGAAAGCAATCAGGTTCTAGAACAATGCGTCGCAGGTGCGGGATATTGATTTGAACGTCTGGTTCGTTTTGATATCTAAATGGACACGAATATTTGAGTTGATCTACATATCTTAATTGACTTGGATATTTACACTAATCTGAATAGCTGAGTCGATGTAAATAATATCTGATTAGTTTTGAAAGACTGGTTTGCATGGAGAACCATAATGCCAACGCTTCATAAATCTTCCTCCGGCATTTAAGTTTTAAATAAATTTACTTACGGACATGGTGTAGCAGTTCTCAATATCGATTTAGCTTGTTTTTGATGAGGGACCGGAATTGATACTTATTACCGAATTTACTCACCAAATCAACCAAAACTCATCATTTTCAATAATCAATATCGTTTCAAGTAGAGATAAGTTCAAAGTTATTCTTTAGAATTATCAATCGATAATCGACTTAAAAATTATATAATTAATTTTGATCTATTCCAGTTGATATGGTATAAAATATAATTCTTGGTATACAAACGCCCACAATAAATTTACTGATATTTGACCCAGCTCCCTTCAAAAACAAGCCCGAGTACATGAAATTTAAAACATGGATTGCAATCAACAATTGGGGGAAAATCTCATGAAAGGGATGAAGCCCCAAAGATATAAATTTTAGTCGTGAAAAGATATATGTTATACGATTAATGAACGCCGTATCAAAACACCCTTAGCATTTCCGAACATAACACATTCAATTTCCCGCTCATTATATCCGCCATCAATCTACAACAAGTATAAAGCCGCACCCAAAATAGCTCCTCCAGCCATTGGCACTTGGGTTCTCATAGCTCCCGACTTAGAAGTAGCGCTAGCGGCACTGCCAGTGGCGGAACTAAGAGCACTGCTAGCTCTGCTAGTGGCACTCTTGATTTCGGAACTGGCGCTAGCGACGTCGCTGCTGATACTGCTCATGGCCGCGCTGATCGAACTCTTAACGGCAATGTCGGTGGCAGTTTGGGCGACGGAGCTCAAGCTGGAGATTTCGCTGCTAGCTTCACTCTTGATGCTCGAGTATCGGGAGGCGGCGGCAGAGGTGACTGTTGAAAATGCGCTGACGGCGTCAGAGGTAGCTGTAGAGAAGGCTCCAGCGGCCCCGGAAGTGGCGGTGCTAAATGCGCCAGCAGCTACTGACGTAACAGTAGAAACGACTCCGCCGGCACCTGAGGTAATAGTTGAAACGACTCCGCCAGCCCCTGAAGTTACAGTTGAGAAAGCGCCAGCTGCTCCTGAGGTAACGGTCGAGAAAACTCCTGCGGCTCCAGAAGTGACAGTATCGGCGGCTCCACCAATGGCAGATGTAGCTGTCGAGACAGCTCCGCCAATATCTGAGGTGATTGAGTTGACGATGCTACCGAGATCTTGTGCCGAAGCACCGAGGGAAAGGAGAGCGATAACTGGGAGAACTTGAACACGCATGATGAAGGTATTGATTGTAATATTATCGAAGATCGAAAAGTTGAGAGGAAGTAGGTAGATTTAGTGAATGTCGAGAAGGAGAGACGTTTATATAGATCGATTCGTGAATTATTCGTTAGCAATTAGTAAAACGAGAAAGAATTGAGAAAGGAGCGTGAATGCGGTGAAGCTTATATACATGTCGATGCTCTGTTTCTACCTAGTAAAGCATTGTCACCTACAGGATCCCCATGCGAAAGAGATGATCAAAATCTCGTATACCGCAAAAGAAAATGCGAATTTCCTGTAAAATGCGGTAGCTCCCCTCCGGTATTCCGTGCATAAACTTACATGACGTTGAAAAAGGGGTATACTAACTCAAAGAAGTCTAGTACTTGCGTGCACACTGTGGCTTGGCTCGCTTAGGTAATCGAGATTCACGGCAAATAATCAATTTTCCTCCGTTTCACTGTGGCTCGGCAGTCATGGGGCGAAATTGAATACCAAAATTTTGTTAATCGTAGGTCTACAAGCCCCCCTTTTAGCCCCCCCCACAATCCCACCTAAAACCATTAACCTCTAGAGATAATAGATACTCTTAAATAATCTATATCCTTAAATAATCCTTATAAAATTTATATAATGTTTTTATAATTTTATAATTTAAAAAGGTTAAATGTTACGGAGGTACCCGCACCGCAACATGGATTATGAGATAAACCTAAGGCCTTGGTGTTGGGACCTACGAAAACAGCACTGTAGGGACAGTTGAATTAAAGGGTAACTAAAGATAGCGGTAACCGAATAAATAAGCAGTGATTAAAAGATAGGTACCTATCTTTTATTGGCACCTACCCCACAGTAGGCACAGGTTGCACAACGGTTACAGATTAGCTAGTAAGCACAGGTTAAATAAGCGGTAGCCTTACCAGGTCACGAGGACAAGTGTCACGTGAAGGAAAGTCGATTCGACTTGTCGACTCGAGTAGTCGAGTAGACTTGACGATTCGATCAAAGTACGAAGGTCTATATAAGGGAATGGGTTTCATTACAATGTAGAGCTTCGTGCTCAAGAACAATCATTAGTTTCATTACTATAGTTACGAGAATTGCAACCAGTTACAACCTTATTGAATTCCTACTTGAAGTCTAGTCTAAACCACCTCGAGAGATCTCTAGACACTTCCACGTGACCCTAGAGGCAGCTCCCGTAACATTAAAGTTTTCGATTAATTATATAATGACACCTAATTGATTATATTACTTCATATAACTTTTATATTTTATAGTATAATTTTATAAAAATCATTCAAAAACGCGAACTGTTCAAAAACACTTACTATCTTTAAAGATTAATGATTTTAAATAGGATTTTGAGGAGGGCTAAAAGGGAGGGCTTATAGGCCTACGATTAACCTTGATTCACTTCGAAGTTCAATGACATTCCGAGGTTAATCCAAGGTTTTCCCCTTGGAATATGTGCTGTCACCAAGAACGGGAAATTATTGCGCGTCGTCTATAAATATCTTCTTTGCTGTCAGCCATAACATTCTTTTCCTCCAATAGTTTAGGCTTTGATGCAATCTTTCTACAGAACACACCATAAAGACCGAGTACTTTGTAGTGAGTGATGTTGATTGAGGCTGAGGTAAATTTCATTAACCTTAGAGAGTATTCTTGGGACGAAGCTTTTTATACTCCGTCCTTTGTAGCAATATTTTTGCAGATCAATTGCCTAGTAAAGTGAAATCATGGCCAAGACGGGTGAAATTCCTGAATGATTCGTAAGGAGATATTTTGGGAACGAGGTTCTGCAGAATTCAAAAGCCATCTTTTTGTAGAAAAATGGGCTGAGTAGATGTACCGTATTCATTTAGAAAATTCGAAAAAGCCTAGCAAGGATGCTTGAGTTTAGGGCCAATTAGCTTGCCTTAGAATGGGGTAAAATGTTCCAAAATAAAAGTATTTAACAGAATTTCAAGGTATTGGATAGATAATCTGATATATAAACAAAACAAACAACTCCGGTGTATATTGTAACTCTAATTCATGAGAAGCTTAAATTGTTAATCCTTGCTAGGCTTTTTCGAATCTTCCAAATGAATACGGTATGTTCTTGGATGGTGTAATGACTAAAAGGTAAATCTAGGACGAATAAGTTTGAAGTGTTTGCAATGTTTTTATATAGCTACCTACGCTTAGCTAGCTAGAGAGATCCACCACAAACTACCTAGGCATAAGTAGGCCAAACTGGGGAAGACCATGAAGCACCAGCAGCGATGAGCTGAGTGTCCATTGCTTCGGCTCCAGCACCGATGAACAAAAATTTGGAGAAGTGGACGGTACTATAGTACTTGTACGTTGTATTTCCAGGAATGAAGACAACATCACCTTGGATAAGTGATAATGTCTCACCTTCCATCTCAACAGTCAACATACCCTCAAGAACCTCGAAAGCCGCATGGCCGGTGTATGACGATGTTGGGATGGTGACGTTGGACAACTTGCGGGCAAGAGTAATGGTCGACAAAGAGAATGCGTCCTCGGATTGTTTTGGAGTAACGAATGGCTGAATGATTTGGTATCCAGCAGCATCGTTAATGTATTGTGGTCCATAGTCCTTGGCGACGAAGTATGGAGTACCTTGAGCGCCAAGATCGTTGGCTCCAGTGTGCCAGGTACTGTTCAATGGAGCAGTACCGTTAATGGCATCTGTACGAGGAACGAAGTCAAGCTGGGCATAGACATCGAAACTTTCAAGAGCGCTGATGACTGAGGCAGGAGGAGAGCTACTGCCATTGACGACGATGAGAGGATCGTAAGGAGGTTGGGTTTCCGAGGAGGCTGAGGTCCAGTTGGAATCGGCGAGGGCATAAAACAAGTCCCTAAAATATTGTTAGTCTCTTGTCCAGTTGTAACTATAGCTTGTTATGCCTGGGCAACCTACTCAAATCCTCCAGGTGAGATAATTCCGACCATCTCAGTATCTGGATCCAAAATTTGGAAAGTATGGGTTGTGTTGATTGGTACACTTCCATAATCTCCTTGTGTCAAGACTCTTGTCTCAGAATCACCATCCTTTTCAGTCCAAAGCTGGAAGCGACCTTTGAGATTGAAGAAATTCTCATAATGCTTTTGATGAATGTGAGGAAGAACTCCTAAATCGGTCGAACCTGGTGCGTTTGTCGCGAGAAGGGAGAAGGCACCTCCAGAAGATGGTCCAGTAACTGGGAATCGATAGAGTTGGTTTCCAAGCACACATCCAGATGCATCATAATGTGCAATTGCATAGGGACGGACATAATTAGGCACCTCTGTTGCCCAGACTGAACTGTTATCGCGGGCAGTAATGCGAGCGGACACGAGTCCAGCAGTAAGAACTGAAGAGGCCAAAGTAGAGGTGCGCATGATGAAGATGATAAAAAGAATGTAGATTTGAGGTGAGGGAAAGAGAGGAAGATCTCTCAGGAACTTGCATGATGTATATATGGAAAAAGAACCAGATCCACCCTTCCACTATTCCTCGGTCCTCATATACCATCTAAGAGATATTACCGATGCAAATAACTGCAACGACGTACATACTAGAAAAGCAATGGGGGGATCTTCAAAGGGCACTGTCACGACTCAGATGGGATGGACCCCTACATAGTCCACTTTGTAAATAGGATTGTAGATAACGTGATTGTGATGTCCACTCAAATAATGAGATGACTGAACTCACTATGGCTCTTTCGTTGTTTCGAATCATCATGTGTTTATAGCGTTTGCCCATTGACATCTAACGTGAGTATAAAGTCTGATGGTATAGCATTGTATCGGTTATCTTTGTGACTGAATTTCTGTGTAATCTTCTCATCGAGTATGAAATTCGTCTCCCCAAAGCAATACTTGCCATCCGTCCACCTCAGATCGATTAGATTACGAAAACGGTTGGTCCTTAGATACTACCTTCCACCACAAGCATATCGAATTGGAAAACACGCACTTCCGCACCAACAGGGCCACCCCGTGAAGACGGCAAATCTCACTCTGGTTTCTCGTGACGCAGCAGCACCGGTACATCTAAATTCAAAAGATTTGTGGGCATTCGGTATCCAAACTGTAGTACGTACGTTAGTGGCACTTTGGTCAGGCTGAATGTGGAAGGGTGCTAGCCGTAATTATACTTGCAGATCGAATGGGGAAAACGATAGAACAAAGTGGTGGACGGGCGGAGAACTGAAACATCCGTCCAGTAATAATTGTACGCTCGACTCGAAGCCTTCAAGTCGAAGCACGTTATTGAACGGAGGTACGGAGTAGATGAATAAACTTTGTCTTACCGTTTGAGATAGCAAGGAACAATTTGTCTGGACAGAATGATCTATTTGGTGACCAAACAGAGATATGTTAACTTTGAAATGGGAAGATATCTTCGTACCAGTACCTCCTGTACCTGCATGAGATATTACAGTAGTTCATTAGTGCATGCAGCTCGAATAGAAACAAAGAAGCAAATTGGAAACAAGTTGAATCAAACCATCCCATCCCATCCCATCCCATCCATCAACACTTCTTCAACGATCAAGTGGACGGAAGGACAAGCTAAATATTCCAAAAGTCCGTCCCATTAGTATCCCACCCAGACTCCAAAAACTGGAGTAGATCTGGGCCCGGTAGTGGACGAGTGGATATACCCAAGATCTGAAGGTTACAGTAACTGGAGAAATTCTTGTATGAAGACGAGGGAGAGTGACATACTTGGGAGTGGACGGACAAGGGATGAACTATGGCCAATAATCGGCCCGGCCTCCTGTTTTTACGGTCTTCGGTTTTGTGGTTTCATCCGATTAGATAAGCCAGGCGTTCAAAAAAGTGTTTTGGACAGTAAAGATGAGTGTATAAGAAAGAGATCTAGATGATCGGAATGAAAGTATTCATGTTTGCACTTTCTACCTGATCTACGCTGAATAAAGATATACCAAAGGTATCCAAATACCGAATCCAACACCAAATGCTATGCTATGCTATGCTCAAAACGCTTTAAAACCAATTGCTCGCTTTACAACCCAGTAAACCCAACCAGCTTTTAATCCAACGCCTGCGGGCATATTCTCACTTCCAATGTTCTATATTCGTTTCATTTTCTCTTCCTTGCGTGATTGCTGCCCCCTTCTCTTGTTCAATTGCGTGCCATATCCGAAACTCGATTCTTAGGTCACCCGCCAACTGTCCCACACTTTGTACACACCAACTTTTGAGCTCTGCTCACACCCACCCCAATCTTCTTAGCCCTGAAGTCCTTCCCCCCACACTTTCCACATGCAAGCATCTGATCACTGCCATCACTAGCTTCTCCTTCCACCTCTTGATCCTCATCTGCTAGATCAGGATTTGCATCACTGCTTAATCTAGAGTTAATGCTGTTCCCACGAGATGACGTGCCTGGTCGAAGAAGCTCTGGACCAAACTTGTTCCCATTTTGATCCGCATTCGAGTTGTTTTTCCAGTTTGCTGGGTTCCAAAATTGGTAAGATCTTCCGGCAGGATCTATTTTACAGACACTAGGATTGATATCTCCGTTAGGAGGAGGCGATGCAGGCTTGAGTGTGAAGGACGGAGTGGGCGGTTGACTTGGGAGAGCCTGGTGCGATTGAGCTTTGAAGATTGATTGAGGAGGGCTACTTGTAGCAATGGAAGGTGGCCGATGACCACCACTTATCGTTGTTGTAGTTGTGGGTACAACAGTGCCGTATTGCAGTTGACGAGTTGCGCTTGCAAGATTTGCTGGGGAAGATGGCGAGTAAGGAGCGCGCGTGAATTTACCAGGTGATGTGCTACGGTCACTGCGACTGCCAAAGGGAGGAGGTTTGGTGTGAGAACTGGAGGTCTTAGGCCTATCATTGGAAATTGACTTGCGCCAGTCAAGGATGTGATTGTCACACTGTGTAAGTGGTCCTGAAATAGAACTCTGGGAGATTGAGGTCCGGCGAGACTGGGAACCACCACTTTGACGTGTCATAATGCTGCTGCTTCGAGCGAGCATCTTTTTGGAAAATTGAGATGAAGTTTCCCATTGGTCATTACGTCTTTTCTGGTAAGCGCAATCTTGTCGAAAGACCTTAATGCGACCAAGATAATCCGCGGTAACAATGATATTGCCATCATTGTGATTGGATCTAGCAAGGTATGCAGATGACTGTTCAGGCTTTTTGACTTGAGGTTCTTGAGTATCTTCAACGGAAAGAGCAGCAGAATCGCGATTCTCTGCCTCACTGGTTGCACGAGATATCGAGGGAAGAATCGATTCTTCTCTACTAAGTAGTGTTACGGGTGGCGGGTTGCATAAATCGTAGAGGGGATCTCCGGAACCACTGAGAAGTATTCTAGACTTCATCGGGGCCATCACAGCCACTGTGACAACCTCAGAATGAGCCTCAAAGAATTCGCATGGCCTTTTGTCCTTGCTCTCATTATCGGTGACTCCAAGAGACCAGATGTAAGCTTTGTGATCTTCACTGCCACATACAACATATTTTGCATCATCACTGAATTGGGCAGTGATTTGACTGTAGGCATTTTCGTGACTTCTGAACTTCATCTCTAAAGCTTTATCCCGAAGGTTGTACATACGAACTCGAGAATCATTTGAAGTAATCAAAACTTTCGTTTCGCCTGCTGGGTCATTGGGAGGATAAACAATCGTGCGGATACCAGTGATTTTGCTTCCCTTTGCGTTTTTCCCCCGTGATGATCGGACATGAATTTGAGTATGGTACTTTAAGCCCTCAGTCTCGTAGAACAAGCAGATCCCACTGAGAACACCAGCTATAGCGGTCTTACCATCTGGGCTGAAAGCTACCGCCGTTATAAGACCTGGCAATTGATTCCAAAAGGCTACACTTTTGTCGGGAATACTCCAAAGCCGAAGAATTGAATCTAGTGACCCAGCCAAGAAGAAGCGATCGTCTCGGGGGTGAAAGGCTATCGATGTAACAAAGTCCTTGTGGTTAAAGGTGCACAGACACTCCGGTCTGCTTATATGCCACAATCTAACGGTCTTGTCCATCGAAGAAGATAGCAGAAAATTGTTCTTGCTCCAACTAAGATCCAGGACATCCAGAGTATGGCCTTCGAATTCCTGTACCGGCTTGGATTTAAAAACAGGTGCGCTCAATTTTTCGCCGTCCTCATCAAATTCATGCGCTCGCCGCTCCTCTGCGGTCGATATCACTGCCCAGATTCGAACCACCCGATCCTTCCCTGCCGCGGCAAAATATTTTCCATCTTTACTAAACTCAGCTGCCCAGACTGCACCGTTTGACCTTGGTGGTTTCGACAACTTGTTAGGGTGTTCCGAATTTGTCGGAGTTTGTACGTTCTCGTTCTTGGACGGAAATTTCGTGCCGCTCAATTCCTGGGCAAGAAACATGCGATTGAACTCCGTAGTCTTCTTGTGATGAGCTCGAACTTTGATATATCGTGGGGGCTCCTTGTGCCTCGGAATATAACCGTTTGCCCCTATCGATGAGGAAAATACATGGGCATTCATGCCCTCAGTGCGTGGATCGCCCAATTCTGATTCATCATCATCCATCTCTGGCTCTTCATTCTTCTTCCCCCCTAGTAAATTGAAACGATTCAAGAATGAGACTCCTTTCCTGCGATTGATTAGCTTTCAGATAGATAACCCAGAGCCAACTCTCGCCAATATAAGTAGCCACGAGGGCATGGTGAGCAAATTCGCAAATAGATCTCTACACATCCGATCGTGCCAAATATTGACTTACTTCTTGTCTTTTGCCAGGTTACTTTCGCTGCGAATCTCCGGGGTCAATTGCCTACCAGGAGAACCTGTGCCAGGACTCCCTGGCTCTGGGACCTCTGGAAGAACGCTTCCTGAGACAGAAGCATTTCGAAGTTTTTGGGGTATTGTGTTCTCGGTATTCGTACGCTTTAGAATGTGCTATACGTCCGTCAGCAAATGTGTGCCTTTCGAGCTAATGTGGTTATGCGTATAGAGTGATCAAATGAGAATATCCAGGGTCGCATACATGTGATAAAGGGTCAATAGCAGTAGAGGTTCGTGCAGATGCTGTGTCACTTCCGTTCTCTTTGGCAACTCCATTTCGAATGACTTTTATCGCAGACTTCCTTGGAGATGTGGAATGCCCGTTGTCTGGAAATAAAACTTATCAGCACATTGCATTTGAGAAGCAATAAACCCCTCAAAGTCGGGACAACCTCATCAAAGTATTCTATAACGAAACATGAAGCTCATAACATGCGAGATGGCCGACCTACCTTCGGATGAAGTTGCAGAGCGTGGTCTTCCTCCTTCGGTCGTTGGTGACCCAACAATTTGTTGTTGCTCCCTGCTGCCCGTCAAATGTTCATCTGTCACCTTGATACTCGGCAATTCTGGGTCAGACATATTGCCTCCAAGTCCATGAATCCAGTGATTTTGAAATCTTGTGTAAGTAGATTAGATAAGGCGGTGCGGATTTGTATGCGTGGTCACTTTCTCTTGTTTGCCCGACTGCTGAGATCCCACTCTCTTCCGAGGGGGTTTATCCAGAAAGTTAGGCTTGTCGCGATGGAAACAGGTGTTCGAGCACGAGCACACAATGAGTGTTTGGGGGTGAAAGCTTTATGGTTTTATGGACAAGTTATATTGATTTGGATTCAATCTAAAATATTGAAGGACTACAGAAAGTCGTCGAGGGATCATTGGGGATTTAGACAAAAGGTACCAAAGAAATCCTATTGGCTTCTGGCCTTACTATTCGCTTTCTTGACGTAGGTAATCATAGATGGCCCAACGATCAAATAGGTTTTAACGCAAACTCATCTAGGCGCTTGACACCTTGGGGTTTCAGGGTTCAGCGGCGTTCTTTTTTAAGGAATGAGGCTAGTGATCGAGATGCCTAAGAAAGCGGTGTCGATCTGGAATGGCAGAATTAAAAGAACAGACGTCGATACATTGTGGATCTTTGACTCAACACAAAAAGCTATAACGTTGCAAAACATAAGTTAATAATGGAAACAGGAGAGAAAACCGCAGATCATATTACCTACCTCCGTCAAGCTCTTGACCTTGCCCGACTATCTCCACCCAAACCTACCAATTTCTGTGTTGGTGCAGTACTTCTCAATGCTTCAACAGATACTGTGATCGCAACAGGCTACACATTGGAGTGTCCTGGCAATACACACGCAGAACAATGTTGCTTCATAAAGCTCTCCCAAGCTCACAATATACCTGAAGAACGGCTTGCGGAAGTTTTGCCGGAAAATACGATATTATATACTACAATGGAACCATGTTCAAAGAGACTGAGCGGGAATGTGAGTTGTCTAGACAGAATCCTGAAGTTGGGTGAGGCTGGAAAAGGAATTCGCACGGTAGTGGTCGGTGTGAAAGAGCCTGAGAAATTTGTGGGCGAAAACGAAGGGAGGAGAAGATTGGAAGAAGCGGGCGTTGAGGTGTTGCTGGTTGAGGGACTAGAGGAAGAAATATTGAAGGTTGCTACAGCAGGGCATATTCCGGTATCTAATGGTTGACCAGCCACATTACGCGTTTGATATGGAAATAGCACACGCGTTTTGCCGATATCCTGAGGTTAGGTACCCTTGAAATGGACGAATGTGGTGGTTTGAATGGAGTAATTTGCTTCCCACGAGCTCAGGTGCAAAACTCCATCAATAATACCACGCCCAATTTCTATCCTAAATGGTCAATCTTCTCCAACTCCTTCAACGTCAAACAATGCTTTTGCAAGTTTCACGAGGATCATGCAAGTCTCATATTCAACGTGATACTTCCAGAAGGGACACACAAGAACGCACCGGAGAAAGTGCGTGCTGCTATCCACATTGGACTTCTAAAGGGTCTTTACGTTGGATTGCTTGTCAGTGTTCTAGTAATGGTTATGGATACATGATATTGGGCAAATGACAATATGCCATAGCTTAGTACTTGCGCCTAGTTGAATTGATACTCGGAAAACCTAAAGGTGGGCAAGTTTGTGATACCATCTGCTAAGAGCACTGTTCGAAACCCATATCCTTGATGCGATCGATCATATCAATCATGCATAGCCATATTGAAGTGAGAGTTGCTTCATTATTGGCCTCGTCATATCCAGGAGCGGGAGGTCGTTTTCAGGGTTGGCTCGCCAGCGACGAATATCTCGTGGATGTCTTCCATCACACTGGATATAAGTAACTAGCCTATTCTTTTCTCTCGATTCGCCTTACTGTATAACCTCAAACCCCCATCAAAAATATAAGCATCACACGCCTCGATGACGCAGCAGTAGAATTCAGCACTCTTGAGAATGGTGTCCGCCTTTCTACTTAGAATTGTGAGGGCTTCGATGGGACAGTGTCATTGTCAGGCATATGAATTATCGAAAGCATAACATGTGTGATAATGGCTCATTGGGGTTAGAGAGCGTCGCGCTCTTAAGCTTTTGTGGTTTTGATGGAGCGGAAGTGAAGTGAATATTTTTGTGGAGACCGAGGATTTGTTTTTGGGCATACCAATTTTTCAAAATATGGATGGATTGCTCCTATGTAATGGGTATTGTAAGCGATCCAGTCGATATACCGGAGAGCTCTTAGGTTCTTCAAGCACTAAGAATCTATTGAATCCCTCAATCAAGCACTTCAAACACTGAATTCGTTTCCACAGTCTCATTGAGACAACTTTGAAATGAGTTTTTGGTCATACTTTCTATGCACCCATGCAACGTGTTGCTATTTTGGAGCCGCTTGAGGTGTTCTATTGGCTGTAACCCCCTTTTGTTGCATTTTGTATTAGCTGGTGCATTGTCTACGGAGAAGGTTGTAGTTGCCACTAGTAGAGGTGATTTTACTAAGGGAACATCAAGATCCTTTCCCTTCATTCTCCTTGTTCATTTATCTTGCATGTTCTACTTGAATCAACATCATCTTGTTTCCTACCCTCTCATCCAACATTCCAAACCTCTACCTATCGACACGTGATAAAAGCATTCAAAGAGACTTTTGTTGCACATCTAAGTTTCAGTTTCGGTTTCATATTGAATTTCATTACGAGAGAGCAAGGCAAACTTAAAATGATAAGAGTTGAGATGTGCAACAAATTCTTTCTATCAGAAGTCAGCCAATCAAAGTGACACATTCAAAGCACTCTTCGGGTGAATGAACCAGGTTCTTGCTGGTGATTTGATTCAATGAAGGTGAGTTTTACTCAGTATCTATTCTCTGTCCATCTCGACAAGCGAGGAAGACAAGAAGAGATCCACCAACCGACTTACCTTTCCATGCCAGATATCTACGAATTGATACAAGAACTGAAGAGCTCAAACGTTCCGTCGCTCTGTACTACTACTTATTCAATATAACGCTGACAATGTAAACTCGACATGATACCCCAAACATCCTCGAGTATGAAGCCTAAGCTTCGCAACCAACCCCGTCGTACTCGCTCTCTATGCGACGAGAGAGGAGTAAAGTCACATATTTGGATGTGACATATAATTACATTGGGAGATTCGATGCGCATTAATAAGTTCAGCACAGTTATGATGTTATTCTAATTCTAGTGTTGGAATGTCACGTTGGAGTTGAGAGTTGTGGCCTGCGCTTGGGGGGAAGTAGAAAAGATAGATTTGTTGCTTCGCGACAGTCTAAAAAGATGATGGGAAAAGGCGGGATGAGAGCACGAAGACGTTCTAATCTTTCGTGGCTGATCTAGGGAGGGAGAGAGATATGTGGTCGCAAAATTGGAGTACTGGGAGTGAGCGTGGTCTTGAACAGTTGAACTCTGAGCAAATGGTTTTCTTGTTGGAGACGAGATAGATACCGGTACATTTGTTCCATATTCAGATACAAATAGAAAAGATACAGATATGCAACACCATCCTCGCCGTCGTTCTTCATATTCTTACTTAACTAGAAGTCTCCCGTCGCGCATTACCAAGTCATCGAAGTATCGATATCAGATAGAAAGATTACAGGGATTATATCGGCCAGATCGTTACCAATACCAACGAATCTCCACAAATTACGCTTTTGCCATCTTCGCGTGCAGGGTCCAAAGCTGACATTCTGTTTCATTTTGGCATAAGTGTATCTGAAAGACGAGGGCTCGCTGAGGATAAATGTTGGTCAATTTAACGGCTCGATATCGAGATTTGATAGGGAAGGGTTACGTAAAAAGAGGGTGGTTATCTTTCCCCACATTTTCGTGGGAAATGGAGTTAGCATTGGCTATGATATTGAAACTGGGTCTGGCTCGGGAGTGATGTTTCTTTATATACTTTGCGTAAGTTTACCGGATTTGGAGGTTCTCCAGCAGGTGATGTAGAAACATTATGGGTAGCAGTGATATAATAACTTGCAATGAGTTATTGTCACCATATCTTGGCAAGGGTATATGGAATGCACGGGAAAAGAAACCTCGATGTCGCATGCTTCACGGTGCGCGATAAGGATGACAAGGAAGATTAATTGGTGTAAGATAAAAAGATAAGCAAATTTCTGGTCTATCTTTTCATATCTAGTAGATGCGGGCAGTTTTACCATTGGCCTTGTATTGTTACAATACATGATGTTTCTTACATGACTTATGTTTTGTTGTTCTAGGTTGATGATCATTTCAGATAAATTCAAGAAGGTCCTAAGAAATATCCAACAATGTACTTGTGTATACATACACGAAAACAATGAACAAACTAACTACCAAAGTAGAGGAAAGATATATAAAAAGATAAAGTAGAATTTATACCAAGATAAAGAAATTGAAAATTAAGCCACCGAAAGAAGTTCACCCGATTCCCGAAGCCACCTCTTGATAGCAGGGGTTCAGGCTAAACCTTCCTGATCAAGTATAAGATCTGATAGCTGCTGTACGACCCCTTCCGCCCTGTGAGCAAACGTGCTTCAAATGGATTTCTGTCATGCCTTGCGGGAAATTGATAAACCTCTATACTACATAGATATGCTACGTCCGCGATATCTTCTCCAAACCTACAACAATCATCCTCACATCGAAGATGGCTACTTTGACACAGTCGAAGAGCAATGTATCGGCTCATAATGACTTGATAAGTCGTCCTTCTGTCACGACAGCGTTGCCGGTTGGAGATAATCCAAATCTTGAAGGCTTGAGTGCGGATGAAGCTGCACTGACGGCTCTGGGTTACAAACAAGAATTCAAGCGAGAATTCTCCTTATGGACAACTTTTTGCGTTTCTTTTGCCGTGCTTGGATTATTGCCAAGTTTCGCAAGTACGTTGTATTATGGAATGGGATATGCGGGTACTGGAGGAATGGTTTGGGGGTGGTTGGTGAGTTGGTTCTTCATCCAGTGTGTTGCTATGGGAATGGCAGAGTTGTGTTCAAGTATGCCGACTAGGTAAGTGTTCCTCGATATTGTTCAAGAACGCAAGCGCTAAATATTTCAAGTGGTGGATTATATTATGCTGCAGCAGTACTCGCTCCTCCAGGATGGGGTCCATTTGCTGCTTGGATAACTGGATGGTCGAATTGGATGGTCCAGATCACAGGAGCACCCAGTGTGGACTATGCGCTCGCTGCCATGATTCTAGCTGCCGCATCAATCACTCACCCCGAGTACGAGCCAACAAATTACCAGACGTTCTTATTGACCGTATTAATCATGATCATCCATGGCGTTATATCGAGTATGCCAACATTATGGATTGCGAAGTTCAATTCGTTTGGATCGACGTTGAACATGATAGCTTTGTTGGTAGTAATCATTATGATTCCAACGTCGGTCACCGGGACTGCCACAACGCCAAAATTCTTTCCTTCGAAGGAGGTCTGGTCTATCCAGAATGGTACCGATTGGCCAGATGGAGTCGCAGTCCTCATGTCGTTTATCGCCATTATTTGGACGATGTCGGGATATGATGCCCCGTTCCATCTCTCGGAGGAGTGTAGTAATGCCAGTATCGCAGCCCCACGCGCCATCGTTCTGACCAGTGGAATTGGAGGCCTTATGGGATGGGCCTTGCAACTTGTTGTTGCTTACACTGTCATCGATATCACCGCGGTCATTGATTCCCCACTTGGACAACCATGGGCATCGTATCTCATTCAAGTGATGCCACAAAAGATCGCGCTCGCTATCCTTGCCCTGACTATTATGTGCGGATTTTTTATGGGTCAAGGATGTATGGTGGCCGCTTCTCGAGTAACTTTCGCCTATGCCCGAGACGATTGCTTTCCATGTTCTTGGTGGATCAAGAGAATTAACAAGTCTACTTACACTCCAGTCAATGCCGTGTGGTTCAATGCTGTCATTGGCTGCCTTCTCCTGTTGTTGATATTTGGCGGAAGCGTAGCCATTGGCGCCATCTTCTCTGTTGGTGCCATCGCAGCCTATGTTGCCTTCACCATCCCTATCTTTATTCGCGTATTCTTCGTCGGCGATAGATTTCGACGTGGACCATGGCATCTTGGCAAATTCAGCAAGCCGATTGGAATGGCCGCCTCTTCTTTTATCCTTGTTATGATGCCAATTCTCTGCTTTCCAGCGTATAAAGGCAATGATCTCACTGCCTCTTTGATGAACTGGACCGTGGTTGTTTATTTCGGACGTAAGTACTCTTGGATCTTGGTACTCTTTTATATCCATCTTCGGCGGCTAATGATAGATTCAGCGATGAGTATAGTAATGATCTGGTGGTTCGTGTCAGCACATAAATGGTTCAAAGGACCTGTGATCAATGTCGAGGTAAGTTACATACATCCCACACTAACATTCCAGCCACGAAGGCTAACACTGGTAATCCTAGCATCATATGATGGGTAGAGACCCGGAAGAAATTATGGAAGGCGTTGAAGATAGTTCAGATGATGGAAAGATCAAGCCAAGTCCCTTCAAAAAGAACGCTGAATTAGGAGGGGATCGGGCTCTTGGAACTTCTGCGGTAACCCAGTGAAAGCTCCTGGGTCTGCAAGCATATCAGTATCGAGATCTGTTGAGACACTAGGAATGGTGCATGTACATCGATATCTTAACCAATAACTAAATGTTTTTTTCTTGCATGAATTGCAAAACAACCATAGTGACGAAGACACCAATTCCAAATACCATACAGGAGACTGGCTCCATGTCAGTTGTTCTGCGTTGGCTGGGTTCGGAGGTTTGAGGTATAAGAAAATCTTATCGAGGGAGAACTTTCTGATGGAGATTTGAACAATGTATGCATTCAGATGGCGAGGATGGAATGAGAAGGAAGATATACTCTCCTTCTCCCACCGTGAAATAAATAGCAGTCACCTACAGCGGCGATCCGTAAGCAAAGCTTGCGCGATTTTTGCTATGCAGATGGGATATAAAATCCCTCATCATGATAGAACCCCTCAATTTGCCGATGAATTCGCGCAGAAATGACACAGGTTGTCATCACGCTTTTGTAAATCGAAGGTATAAATCTTACCACTTGGTCTCAGAAGAAACATGCAAATAATTCAAAAATGATAGGACAATATGAAAAGGATGGAAATACGAAGAGGAAATGACGAGAATGAAGATAATGTTGAGCAACCTGAGCAGAACGTATTGTATGCAGACACCCCCACTTGGAGCAAATATTGTAGATCTCAATATTTGAAAAATCCGATGATAGATATTTTGCAGTTCCACCAGACTTGGAGGATGTACTACTTCTTCCACCTGCCCCTCCCTCATCGTTTCCAAGCACCAGGATACTCACACTATCTCCCCCACATCCCACAGTCCACAGTTGACTGGAATCAACTTAATTACTCATTCACATAAGCGTTGAGGTAGAAGGTTTCCATGCAATGATCAAGGTAACTCAAGGTAGCACAAGGCAGAAATCCAGAGAAAAGATGTCACCAATGTGCCTTAATTCTCAGGCCTCGATTGAAGAATGGCCATGCCAGGCTCTCCCTGTCAATTCGAAGCTCTCAAACCCCTAAAGCCATTGAACTGTTGCCGCCCTCTAGAGCCTTTGGAGGTGTGTTCTCAACGAATTATGAAATGAAAGGCATGCAATCATAGTTCTATATGAGCAGCAAATCCTAGGCACGATGTTATCCAACGTTCGGAAGTCTGCCGCTGGAAACGCTTCCCTATTATCTCCTTCGAATTACGACGAGGATGCTCCGTCTATACATTCAGAGCACAGCGACCAAGACGAAGACAGTGATGATGATAAAATAGTTCAGGGGGCGCGTACATCCGCAGATATTAGGAAATACGATCGGGGCGTGTTAGAGGAGGAAGAAGAAAGAGACGAGCTTTTAGAAAGAAATTTGAAGCGCGGGAGAAGAGGAAGCGCATTGGAAGGAATAAGCTCGGGACTGAGAGGTTTATGGAGTAAGAGCCATGTTCTATTACCTGGAACTGGCAACGAAAGTTCCTCGAATCAAGACGATGAAACCGAAGTGGAAGAAAAACGACGCCAAAGGAGAAACAGACGGCAGAAGAAGAGGGAGAAATTGATGGAAGATGCAAGTTATGGCGAAGATGGACAGTTGATGTTCGAGATGGAAGGGGGGCGCATAAAGGAAGGTAGTGCGACAGGGTCAAGCAGCGAAACTGACGAGAGCGACGATGCCGACAGACGTGGCTTGCTAAATGTACGGGACCAGGTGGCACAACGAAAAAATGCAAAGTGGGCTTGGTGTGCTATATATCTTCTGATAGCATTAGGATTCACGGCGCTGTTGTTAGTGGCATGGAAGCTGTCGAAGAAAGCACGTTTCACGAAAGAACATCAAATTTTCCAGAGCAATGGCACAGCTCTGTTTGCGCCAACGACGATCTTGATAAGCTTGGACGGATTTCGAGCCGATTTCTTGAAACGGGGCATCACACCTAGATTGAATACTTTCGTCGAAGAGGGGATTTCGCCTGTCTATATGAATCCCAGTTTCCCTTCTGTCACCTTTCCAAATCATTATACATTGGTTACTGGTCTCTACCCAGAATCACACGGCGTTGTGGGAAATACATTTTGGGACGAGAAATTACAAGAAGAATTCTACTATACCAAATCTGAAGCGATGCACCAGAAATGGTGGGGCGGTGAGCCTTTATGGGTCACTGCTGAAAATCAAGGAATCAGAACCGCCATTCACATGTGGCCAGGAAGTGAAGCGCAAATCATGGATGTGGAGCCTGCATACTTGGATAAGTACAACGGACAAGAACTGCTTCTCAACAAAGTCAGCCGAGTCCTTGAGCTTTTGGATAAGCCTGGCCGAGAAGATAGTAAAGCAGCTTTGGCTGATATGAGACCTCAACTAATTGCAGCATACGTGCCCAATGTTGATCAGCATGGTCATCTTTACGGGCCAAATAGTACTGAAATCAGGGTGACTATAACAGAGGTTGACACTATGCTTGATCAATTGTTCCAAGGACTTGAGGCAAGAAATTTAACAAAAATTGTCAACGTTGTCATTGTTTCAGATCATGGAATGGCTACTACAGACACCAACCGTCTTATTCAACTAGAAGATATCATTGACACCAGTCTAATCGAACACACTGATGGCTGGCCTTTATATGGACTTCGGCCAAAAGATCTCTCACACCTTCAAGGTCTTTATGATACTTTGGTTGCAGAGGCCGCTATCAATCCCAATTTTGAGGTTTATCTACGAGACGTTAATATGCCTGAACGTTATCATTTCTCCAAAAATAAGCGAATTGCACCTTTATGGATTGTTCCAAAGACTGGTTGGGCGATTGTCACGAAGGACGAATTTGATGTAGTTGAAGGAAAAGCAAAAGGAATTGCCTATCACCCTCGAGGACTGCATGGCTATGATCATGAGCATCCGCTCATGAGAGCTATTTTTATCGCTAGAGGCCCTGCTTTCCCACATGAGCCGAATAGTCGCGTTGAGCCTTTTCGTAAGTTTGCAGCGGTCTTTCCCAGCTAAACTTAACTAATATGACTCAGAAAATATCGAAGTGTATAATATAATTTGTGACTCTCTGGGACTTACACCTAATCCCAATAACGGCACATTACGTCTTCCACTCAAGCCTGTTGGGCTTCACTCACTTGATACATCTCCTCCCGAACCTGCTGATCCTGAGCCAAGTCCTTCAAAGCTAGAGCCTCAAACAAACGGAACTCTATCTATATCACCGATTGAAGCTAGCTCTGCAGCAGATCCCAATGTAGTCCCTCCACAAATGGTGGGTGTAGATTCGCCAGAAGACTTAGAAGATCCAAGTGTGGACAGGCCAGTAGTAGGAGACGAGAGTAGTAAGACAGATGATGAGAAAAATTGGTGGGCATGGTTCAAGGGAGAACTAGATGACTTTAAAGGCTGGATTTCTGATTTGACCCATAAGAATGGGACCAACGGAACTCAGGCCTAGGGATAGAACTTACTGCTATTTTCGCTAATATGCGATGTGCTATGAGTTTTGGTAGCAAACACGAAATGTCTGGGTTGTGATTTAACAAGGCGCCTAGATTAGATACCATATGCGGGAATTTGAATGTACAATATATTTTTAGGGAATTGATGACTTTTATAACTATGATTTGATTCCCAGATTAGCCAAATGATTGATTTGCTAGTCGGGGTTTTGTTAAGTCCCAACAGCTAGAGGAATTCGCTTGCATTAATTGACGCTAATCTCAGAGGTGCATTTCTTTGCCGCTTAAAAGACCTGTTGGCAAAAGCGTGGCATTAAGTTGGAGAAACAGTACTTCGAATTTAAGCATTCTCCATCTTCCCATGTATCGTTCTCCTGCCATTCACAATGAGTTCCGAACCAGCCTGAACTTTGACATTACCATGGACCGTGAAATTTCCATGAACATGCAGCTTTCCATTAATCTTCACATTACCACTGGCTTTCAGCTCGTTGCTAGAGTCGAGGTTAGTCTATACGTTATGATATACTCAAAAAAATGACTCACCGAACTTCCACATCTCCCTCAATCTCCATTCCACCTCGCGACTGTAAATCTCCCAAGACAATCCTCTGCTTCTCTGCCGACTCAACAATAATCTTGCCACTACTCTCCACATTTCCCACCTCTGCTGCTCCCCTAATCGTCACCTGTCCACTCGCATCCACCTTTCCTCCAATCCTCACCAATCCTCCTATTCCTTCTAGTAACACCTTAGAGCTACTCCTCACATCAACCTGCACATACACATTCCCTCTCATCTCTATACTCGAACTACTCTTCACAGTCCCCATCACCACCACTCCCCCTTTCCCCTCGCCTCCATCTAACGAAATCGACGAACTCGATTTCACATCGTCGTATACAGTGACGTGATCGTAGAGAACAATTTTCGCGCTCGCCTTAATGGGACCGCAAACGGTCACGTGGTTATGCAATGTCACGGATGAGGAACCAGAAACCGATTCGAGGATTTTGAGGGGGCCAGATAGGGAGACTGAGCGGGATGAGGATACGGCGTTGGAGATGGGGATGTTGAGTGGAGATGTTGAGGCATTAGGAAAAGACGGATTAGAGGAGGACGGAGTCGGAGGGAGGGAGGAGAAATCTGATGGGTAGCTGGAGCCTGAAATTGTGGATGGAGCGGGGGTATCGTAGGGGGTATAGGCGGGCGGCCCCTCTGTGTCGGCTAGTTCGGGGATTTGAACTTTGTTATCGCCAGGGATGAAAACCATTCTGATTATGGTGAGTGTTGAGGTAGTTTTTTTGATAAATGAGAGGTGCTACGTGATGAAGTTGAACGTTGATGTTGAAATTCTGACTATACGAATATATATAGATAAAATGAAGTAAGATTAGTCTTGAGAAACAAGGGAAATTGAAATCATGGATATATGATTTGCTGATGCAAGCATTTTTAGCTTCTGTTTGGGGCAAATCTAATAAAGATGGCAGCCTGATGTTATTGTGGCTCAGTATACCCCGCTTCGTTTGTAAGCCAACTCTTTTTGATTAGTCGGCGCGTATGGTAAATTCTCGTCTAACTCTAATTTCCAATCACTTTCTCAATTATGATTTTCTGCTTCAGTTCATCTACCACCCCAATATAATCCTTTGCGCTGTAAGGTTCAAATACTTCCCAAAACCAACTTGACTTTCTATGACTTCTCAATCCCATGTCCTGAAGCAACATGTCATAATATGGCAACCCATCAAATACACTGTCAGGATGTCTAGCACCAAAGCCTGAAGGATATCTCCACTTTCCAAATCTACTGTGTAGAATAGTTTGATATTCCACGTCGGAAGGAATGAGGACTTTGTTGTTAAAAAATGCAGTAGCCCAAAGTGCTTGAAATTGAGCCAGGAATCCTGTAGAGACCGATGTCATACAACCCAGAAAGATGATATCCCTAGACTTGACGAATTTGGGAGGGACCATGAAACGAAATAGTCTATAAGGCTCGAGCCTTCCATCAGGGGCTCCTTCCATTGGCTTTACTCTCTTAACTGCAAGTGGCTCTTCCTTTAATTTGGGAAACTTGGAGAGAATTTCCTTGTCGGCTCTCTCTATCAAATCAGTTGGTTCCTCGGATCCTGGCGTGTGCGGAAGCCCTAAATCTATTCCTCTAGGTAGGAATTCTAGTGGTGTTGTATGTTTCCATCCGGTAGCACAGGCGAAAGCGTCCGTTTGTATTTTTTCGCCGTTTGAAAGGCTCACTGTGTTCGCACTTAGGTTTACAATATCTCCAATGTGCACAGAGATTGCACCTTTGCGAACAAGTTCGAAGATATCCGTATCGTGATTCAGAATCGAAAGCATCGCTCCAACGTAGAAAGAGTTTGACCAAGGTTTAAGCTTCGCAGTCTCTGGGTGTTTATCGTACCCATTCACCGTTTTAATCTCGTTTTCTGAATTTGCCCAATACTTATTGACAAACCAGCGGCCTGCCGCTGTACCGTGCAACCAGGAACGGACCGTTCCATATCCATCATAATCACCATATATACAAGGACTAAACCAAGTCAAAATTCTCGTGTTGACCATCTTTTCGATCCAGATCTTGAGAGGCGTGGCGTACGACTCAGACATCCATCCTGGACCATGCCCTGACTCTCTAATAATCCAGTCTACATGTATTCCCTTCGACGCATATGCATAGGCCATATCAAAAGCGGATTTTGCGCCTCCAAAAACACATACGCTTTTCGCTGTCTCGAAAGTATCCAAGTGATTCGGAAATTCTTTCGTATGAAACACAGGTGGTGTGAAGCTCTCAATCCCAGGAAGTGGAGGAATGAACGGCAGTGAAGTCAGTCCTGTCGCAACAATAAGTTTCGATGTGGATATCTTATATTCCTCAAAAGTTGCCGGAACAGTGCTTGAACCAATCGTGACAATCCAGCCACCTTGATCTTGATGCTCAGCTGAGATTGCTTTGCTCTCGAACCTGATCTTATCATAAACATTGTATTCTTTCGCAAAATCTTCGAGATATTGATGGACTACTGATCCAGGAATATACTCTCCAGGTTTAACGCCATATTTCTCTGTAGTTAGAGGAAACTCGCTGTACTCTAGCGCTCCTAACATATTATTCGTTTTCAACCCAGGATATAGTCTATCATTGGCCCATACACCTCCAATTGTTGTGTTATCAGCCAACACAACGACATTTGCGTTAGGGTGGACTTGGAGATAGGTTTTTGCACCAGCGAGACCAAACCAACCTGTCGCATTGAAAGTCAGCAAATTATCATCTCTCGTCTCTTTTTGAAGGTCGAGTTACCTGCTCCGACTACTACAAGATCAACTTTACCGTCGTGTGACATCTTTAACTCCTTTGATGACCGACCGATATAGTTAAGAGGAGAAAATGTTGTCACAGGGAAGTCCTTCACATATCTATAATTTTTCTCTTTCTTCGATTGACTTCGGTGCCACAAGCTTATCGCAGGGATTTTTTGGTAAGATCCTTTGATTTGTTGTTGATCCAAGGCTCCAACGAATTAACAGTGGAGTGCTCACGTACAAATCTTATGATAACATTTTTCATCCATACAAAAATGATGCCTAATAACCAAACCGGATTGCATCAGAATATCAGTTTGGCTTTGTGGGTATTCGAAAATAAAAAGGTGGGCGAGTGAGATTGCAGGGTCGCACGTGTTACGTTTGCTACAAAAGCACAAGCCCCCCGGTCCGTTGCACAAGCTGCCTTTTTCGGATATATATGTATCGTAACACGCACTGATGGCTGTTTCGGGACTCCCATGATCTGGAGGTGATATTGTTTCACTTGGTACACTTCTTCGTCGAAGATATCTGTTTCAGTTCACAATGTATCCAAGACATATCTACCATTGCCCAGATATTAGGATGCCATAACCCCTCGAGCTGAACAATATACATGTTACGATACAAAATCTGAATCGCAATATATCTACGAATATCATATGTGTACGATGTTCGGTGACACGATGCTGTACATCCAGATCCAATTCGGAGATTGACTTAGTAGTCTAATGATGATTTAATTGACAATTTGAGTTTATCTGGAATAATGAAATTCTTTGGGATACCAAAAGTCGCTCCTGAATTGCAACTTCAGGTTATCCGGCACGCTGACCATGGATAAGATATTATATGATGAAAGTGTCTCGTAAGAATCGAATCAATGGGCTTGAATTATGTATGCGCAAAGCTTCATGAAGTGACTCCAGTCGCTTCTGGACCACCAAGCTTCCCGAAGATGTTTGGTGCTATCTCATCCACAATCTCCCAATGATGCGGTATATGAGCCCTGAGCTTGCCCATCAAGATCCCAACATTACAACTACACAATTGGATATTCTCAATTGAAGCTCTAAAATAAGCACCCCCTTCAATCCAAACCTCCTTTCCCTTTTCGTCAAACGAGGAACCATTTATCACTTCGCTTAGTTTTGTCAACTCGATAGACATACTCACTTCGTGAGGGAGCATCGATGTACAAGATAAAGCGTTGCATGCTAATTGTCCGTAAATGCAATGGGTCCAAATGACTAATGCTGCAGATGCTAAAGCTATGTAAGAAATTGGATCGGGGATGAAGTTGGCGAGAGAGGGTGTTTGGTTGAATGCACTGTGGCTCAGGAGAATTTCCGTCGCGTGCCATAAGGCTCGCCGAGAGCTAGGCTCTTGTGTCCATTCACGTGCCGCTGCAACACGTCTGGTGTGGGGTTGAGAATATATCCCTCCGAAGACTCCTCGGACTGTGTCAGAGAGTGCTAGATCTTTGGCGAGCATTCTAAGAGTCTGAATCTCGGCAAATACTTGTAGATTCATCAGATGATGAAGGATAGAAGTGTCGAAGATAAAGTTGTGAATGCGTCGGCAAACTATATCTTGCCATCCAGGGTTATCATGGTCTTCAAGTCCATAGTAGTAGCGCACTGGAGACTGTTCTGCTTGGTCAAATGTATCGGGGCACGATATTTTTGCGGAAAGATTTGAGAACCCGCGTTTTAGAGCTTCCAGCTGGCGTTTAAGTGATTGTCTTTGAATATTTAGACTTAGTTCGTTCCTTCTCTCAGGGCGACTTTGCTTTGAAAGGTGCAAAATCTCTGACTGCATAGCCCAAAGACAAATCTGGATATCTTCCAACATAGACTCGTTCTCTGGAAACTCAATTCCTCCAAGAGCTACTTCTTCAAACATCACATTGATTGAACGATAGCTTCTAGATTTCGGTTCAGCTAGTCGACGAGCCTCCCAATGAGGAAGCCCTCCGGCGTTCCAAAGCGCGATAGTGTCTGGAATACAGAAGTGTAGTTCTTCTGGCTTGAGTAAAACTGGCTGCATGGTTATGGCACTGAAATATGTGTCAATCTTGAAGAGACCAACTACTATCCTCTTTCTTTGTTGGTCTCTCACCGAACGTAATGGTAGAAAATACCCTGGCTTATCGTCTGGATAAATAGTCCCAGGCGTTAAGATTCCAGCTTGGTATATAGAGGCAACTAGGAGGTTGCGTAAGATTAGTCCTCTTTTTAAAACCTCACGTTTCCCACAGTATGATGCAAAAATAATATTCAACAACGTGCACTGATATAAAACAATTGGCAGAGGCTGTGTCATTGTATCTATATCCTTCAGCTGGCATAAACGTGGGATAACATGCTCTACCACATGATGGTGAACTTTCAAAGCCCAATCTCTCGAGCTTGGAGTCCCGTCAATCCAACCTCCAATCATCAACATGGATGGGAGTAGAATCTCAGGTGCCTCTTCATCATCCTCATAAGTTGGGGAATGGACTATGGGCCAACGATCGTGGAAATTGGCAAAGTAGAGAGAACAATATCTCTCGACCGTTTCTTTGGCAAGTGAACATAGGTATTCAAGCTTAGATGTGGGAACAAAAGTATCTTGGGGTGCTTCTCGGGTTTGAGAAGCATCTTGTTGGATCCTGACATTTGACCAATCGAGAAGCCCGTGAGGTGTGCGCCCCAGATTCATTGAGGGCGAATCTTGGCCAGTAATCGAATTACTGAGCAGATTCCTGCTTACCAACGAATCATGTGCCTCTTGTAAAGAGCCATGTGTTGAAATAGAGTTGAATGATTGATTCGAACGAGAAGATTGACCGGAGTTAAATGCTTGTGCCACAATGGATATCTGATTTGTAACAAATGCCTCATCTGGACTGGGTGTCTGGCCAGACTTTGGACTTTCAGCGGGCATCTGATCCTCTCGTACATTTTCGGACATCGAAAATTCCGATCCCTCCCAATCGCTCACATCACCTCTTGAGGCTTCATCTTGCCTCCTGGCTATAGTAGGCAACTCTTTCGGCAACCCATATTTGCAGGAAATGTTCTTCTTCTCACATCTGGAACATGGATTATTTCCATCGCATTTGATTTTACTGGAGTGACAACTCGCGCATGCCCTCCTGCTTCGACCAGTATGTTTTTTGAATTGTTGTCCGTGACGTCCAAGATGTCTCTGCAGTCCATCACTACGAGAAAACTTTTTGTGACATATTCTACAAATATGTGCAGGAGACGAATTCGAATGTGATTTTTGATGCCGAGTTAAATGCTCCTTCCGCTGAAACGATTTCGTACAACCTTGGAACGGGCACGGCCATCTAGGTGGTGTTTCTTGGCTATCCATTGTCGTGAATGACAAAATAAATGGCTGACCAAAATCTAACTAAGATATCACCCATATCACTCATCCATATCTCGACTCGTATTTAAGAGTCAAGAAACTGTTGTAGTTTATGTTGAGGTTTGTCATCCATCGCGTGTGTTGATAGGTCCGTGAGGTGGGCGGCCGAGATGAGAAACTGTCTCGTGATAGCAAGCTGTCGAGCTTTCACTGCCAGGAAAAGGGAGGTCGTAGTGGAAACTTGAAGAAGTTAAGATGTCTAGAGTTTAGTTTCCACCGTCTTGTGTTGTGCTATTCTTCTGTTTCCCAAGGTGTAAGAGGAGGGCGGCCGAAAATTACCTATTCTCCGAAGAACTTTAAACTCTAATTAAAGCCCAAGGCCTCTCGGGAGTCGGGATCTTTATACCATATCACTAAGTATTCAACAAGCACAAGAAGTGAAATCCTGGTGTATTTTTCATGATAACTAATGAATAATTGTAGACATAAGATCAATAGTAAATTGAGGCTGTGAAATTTACATGCAAGGTTTAACCTATAGTTGAGGCTCAAAGAGCGACCCAACGTTAGCCCTATAGGTACTTGTCACTCCTAGTGAACCCTTGATGAATATTTAGAATGGTGGTTTTAAACCCCAAATTACTAGCTCAATTTCCAACCACAGGGAAATTATATAATCAAGCAATCATCTTTCTATCTCCAATATCTCCAATATCTTGTACCTGCTAACTTTTCCAGCATCTAGAGAAATGACATTTTGGGGGTTGATTACCAAGCATGAACGATCATCTAAATCCTAATTTAAAGCTGAACACTGAATGTCAGGGAAATGAATTATCCCCTCAAGATAAAGAGCGATAATCCGATGAATAATATCTTCAAAACAGTAAATACATGGAAATATATTTAACTTTATATTTCACTTTATCTTGGTCTTCCATTAGGCCTTATTAATGATCAAGCGACCGTGAGGGATGCTTTACACTTCGGCTCCCCCATATCGCTTGTTTCTCCCCCCTGGTAGATGTGAGTGGAATTTCGCGAACAACTTATATATAAACGAAGCACTTGAAGAGAACAACTCATCATTCAAATACTCAAATATCCATCTACCTATTCCATCAAAGTCTTCAATCATTTAACATTTACAAAAGTTCATGAATCAACCATTCTAAATCCCAAAATCATCTTCATCATGAGTGTCATCAAGAACGTAGCTATCACCGGTGCAAGTGAACCAATCTTCTCTAAAACTATCACAGCATGATCTAACTCAAATCAAGGCCGCCGGTGCCCTTGGCAAGCCTATTCTGAAAGCCCTCGTCCAATCCAACAAATTCAACATCACAGTCCTCACTCGCTCCACATCCACCTCATCCCACACCTACCCCTCAAGCGTGACTGTCCTCCCCGTAAACTTTGATTCCATCCCCTCACTCACAGCCGCCCTCCAATCACAGAAAATCGACGCCATAGTCTCCAGCGTCGGAGTCGATGGTCTTCTTGGCCAAAAACTCTTAATCGACACTGCCCTCGCCGCAGGCGTAACCCGTTTCATCCCCTCAACGATCCCAAAACTCAAGCCCTCCCTGGCTTCGGACACTAAATAGCCGTATGTTCTCATCTCGAGGCCGTTGCTGCCAAGAATCCCAGTTTTACATATACATATATTCGCAACGGCGCATTTCTCGACTGGGGACTCGAGTACAATTTCATTCTCAACATATCGTCTGGAAAGCCATCTATTTACGATGGAGGCGACAAGCTATTCAGTGCCACTACCCTCGAGACCATAGCTCAATCCGTCGTAGCTGTTCTCACCAAATTTGAAGAAACGAAAAATCGTGCCTTGTACATTCAAGATTTGCAAACATCTCAGAATCGTCTTTTGTCAATTGTAAAGAAGATTTCTCCAGAGAAGAAATGGGAAGTCGTTCCGGTGGAGACGGCTGATATTATCAAGTCTTCAGATGAGAAGCTTGCCAGGGGGGATGTTACCATGGAGGTTATGGCCGGATACATTATTGCTTGGATTTTTGGAGAGAGATTGGAGTCGGATTGGAAAAAGACGGATAATGAACTGTTGGGTTTGAAGGAGAAGACCGTTGCTGAGTTGGAAGCTATTGTGAAGAAGTATGTCAAGTAATGGGAAATTTCTTGAGAGGATATACAGTATGCGTTGATCTTATAGACAAATGATAAATGACATGGTATTTCTCAATCCGGTTCACAGGCCTTGATTCCTTATTATTCATTATTGAATAATCTTCTATGTTGAATGATTGAATCGTCAGATAAGATAATACTACTATCGAACTGTTTTTCCTTTCGATGTTATAGACCTATCAGATATGGATTTAGAGGTCAAATTATCTAGAATAGAACCTATAACTACGTGTACATGAATTTAGCTCTATTCAATTCTAATACCTACATCATCAAACCCCCAGATCCCTCTTCAAAATATCCGCTCCCTTCTCTGCTACCGCATAAACCGTACTCAAGACATTCCCACGAGGCTCAATCGGGATAACACTCGCATCACAAACCCTCACGTTCGCCGTTCCATGCACCATCAAATTCTCATCAACAACCCCATCCAAATCCTCACTCATCATAGCACAAGTTCCTACAGGATGATAATTCGTTGCTCCGAATTGGCGAATGTAGCGCGTCACCTCCTCTACACTTTTGGCGCGGCGAGGAAATCCACTCGGTAAGGTGTTACCATTTGGCTTGAGAAGCGCAGATAACTTGGGCTGTTCTAGCATTTGACCGATTTGGATGATGTGGCGAGATAGGATTTCGGCGTCCAAGGGATGTTCGAGGTAGTTGATTTTGATTTCAGGATACTCGCTGGCGTCGGCAGTTGTGATATGAGAGCTTCCACGAGAGAAGGGGTAGGAAAGCATAGCTAATATTGTCATGTAGTTCCCGGGTGCTGGTGTAGCACTCGGAGTGTATCGTTGTTTCCGTGTCATGAAAACTGTTGAGGATGCTTCTTCTGGGTCGAGGATTATGCGCTTGATGATATCGTATTGAGCCTGTAGTCCTTTGCTCATTGTTGATGAGGTTTCCAGGAGGATTCTGTTGACGAGAGCTGACAACTCGCGTTCTTCTTCTTCCGAGTTGAAGGCTTTTAGTGGTAGATAGGAGAAACTATATGCAGCACCTTCTGCTAACCGACCTATGTGCTTGGCTTCGTACAGCCTTTTGGCGGCTTCAGTTATTGTGGGATCACGGGCAGAGACGTCTGCTGTTTCGATATTATCTAGCACTTCAACGGAAGGCCCAAAATTTAGATGGTCTTGGAGATTTTCTATTTTCACACGTAAGCACCATAAAAGTCAATCTGCTTAGCAGCCATTCTTACCACCGACACCCCTGAGGTCACAAAAACATTCGATACCCGCAGTAGTAAGTCTTTCACGTTGCCCAATGCCGGATAGCTCTAGTAATTTTGGTGATCCAAATGTTCCAGCACATACCACTACTTCTCGATTCGCATGAACAACTACAGTCTTCCCATTTTCTTGGCTGTAAAGAACACCGGTTGCAACAACCTTACCGCCCCTCTTCTCCTCGCCAAACATAATCTTATTCACCAGCACATTACTTCTGACAACGAGATTATCTCGTTTCGTGGACGGCTCCAAAAATGCGACCCCAGCATGGCTCCTTTCGCCTTTGCAAGAATCAATAGCATTCGTTGTCGTAGACCCTCCAAGAACACCTCCCTCAACTGGGTTCTTCGACGAGCTATACCCCAGATCTTGGATCGCATCCGTCCAAGCTTTCTGCATCGGATGTAAAGTCACAGGGTAGGAAGCTTGAATTCCTCCCTCATACTCGCTCTCATCATGCTTCCGGACATTTTCACCCTCCATCGCAAAGTCTCCAATCTCTAATTCTCGCCTAACCTCCTCGCTCGGTGCTTGCAATGTTTGAAACCTCGTATAATACTTCCCAATCCCTTCCCAATCCCAACTGTTCCCAGCACCCACTAAACTTCCCCATGCATCATGATATGCACTCGATGGATACACCAACGCATGAGAATTAATCGCACTACTCCCACCCCATAGCTTGCCCCGTGGCTGCAGAATCACTCTACCATTCAAACCCTGCTCCGACACAGTCCGAAACCCCCAATCATAATTCTGGTTTCCAAGTAATGAACCAGCAAGGCCTGGGGTACTGACTTTGGGGTCTGAGTTGCGATTTCGGCCTGCTTCGAGCACGAGGATACGAAAAGTGGGGGTAGATGAGAGGCGTGCTGCCAGGAGGCTACCTGCTGTTCCGCCGCCGACGATTATTACGTCAAAGGTGTCGTCGTCTTCGTTTTGCAAAGACATGGTGAAATCAGGAACTAAAATTCTTTGTAGAAAGTCAAGCTCTGAGCTTGAAAGTATCCTGCCATCGCTATGGTGATGTAGTAAGAGATGAGAGATGGCGCTTAACCGCCCAGGCACCAGCGTACTTCCACCTGCCAAAAGAGTATTTACGAAATCCACTTTACGCCACAGGAGTGATTATGCAATAGGTATTTTAAGAGATATTATCGTAGCAGGTGTAGACGTGAACATAGTATAATTGAAGTGGAGTAATAGGTAACGTAATTTATCAGCATGTAGGCCATATCAGCATGTAGGCCACTTTCACCTCAATTCATACTTTTCTCTTTCAATATGCGTTTTATTAACGATCTATAATGAATTTGAATAACCAAGAAGCCTATATACTCCTTGTTATCGAAGCTATTCAAAAAAACAAAAAATTAAGTATTCGAAAGATTACTAAAATGTATAATATCCTGCATACAATATTACAATATAGAATTAACGATTTTATTCCTTATATAGAATATCAATATAAATCTTATAATCTTTTGAAATTAAAAGAGAATGTTATTATCGAATATATACTTAATATAGATTTGAAAGGATTTCCACCTAAAATCAAGAATGTAGAAGATATAGCAAATTATATTCTTGAATTGAGGGGTACGAAATATATTAGAAAGCTTTAAGTGCATCGATTTATAAAGTATCGAATCGAATTAAAGATACGTTTTAATTATATTTATGACTTTTAAAGAGTTCTTTATAAAGATTCTAAGCTTATTAAAGACTGGTTTCGATTAATTACGAATATATAAGCGAAATATAATATTTTAAATAGCGATTTCTATAATTTTGATAAAACAGACTTTATAATAAGGATTATAAATACAGTAATGATTGTTATTAATGCTGAAAGACATGACAGAAGTAAATCAGTATAACTAAACAATTAGGAATAAGCTACAATAATAATATATGGAAATAAAGAGGATAAAACTATTCTCTTATTTCTAGTAGTTTAAGGACAGGTTTATCTCTCCAATTAATACACCAAAACGAATCTTTCTACGGAATGGGCTATCAAACCTATATCTAATAAATGAACGAACAATGAAACAGATTTAAAATAATTGAAATATTTTAATAAATATATTAAGAATTGAAGAAAGGGCAAATATCGAATATTAGTATTAGATAAATATGAAAATTATGAATCAATATTATTTCAGAATTATTATAAGGAGAATAATATTAAATATATATGTTTATTATTGTATTCAAATTATTTAATTCATTTACTTGATATGGGCTGTTTTAGTAATCTGAAATGTTTATATAGTATTCAAATTAATGGATTTATTAAGGTATATATTAATCATATTTTAAAGGTTGAATTCTTTATAGCTTTTAAAACTATATACAAAAAATCAATCATCTCTTAGAATATAAAATCAGGATTTCAAAAAATAGATTTAATATTATTTAATTCTAAAGCTATATTTTCGAAATTAGATATTCAAATTTATATATCTACCTCTCTTTCTTCTGATCTAGATTAATAGGTCTCTCAAATCCTTTATAATCTAACTGAAGCTCTTTCTCAATCAACATTAATCAAATCTCGAATAAATCGTTATCAATCAAGCTTCCCTACATCTTTATTTGAAACTATACTAGCTTTAACTAAGGGTATAAAGAAACTAGCTTATAAGAATACACTTTTGAATATAAAGATTTATATACTTCGAAAAGCAAATGAGGTATTAAGTAAACATCAACATACGAAAAAAACTCAATTATATTAAAGAGAAGTACTTATTAAATAAAAGGCTCTTAATATATTATCTCAACAAAAAGTTGATATTCAAATTCAATACAACAAGTATTAAAATGAAAGGAATCCTAATAAGAAAGTATCTTCTAATAAATGCTATAGTAAATGTGAAAAACCAGATTATAATTCAAGAATTTATCAAAACAATATAATAGATCCTAGATTATTAGATTCTTAATAGTTTCAATTAATTAATATAATAATTGTTGAATAATTTGTATTCGAAAGTATGAATTGAGATGAAAGTGGCCTATATGTTGATATAGCCTATATGCTGATAAATTACATTATTGTCAAAGAGACCGTTACAAGATGCAAAATGGAAAATCATCAGCACAATGATTTTCTGGAAAGCTTTAAAACATTGTCATACAAAACAGAGCATCACAGAAATAGCAAACGATGTTCTCAATACTGTTCCAAATGATAGTAACGAATATCGGTATTTATACTAGATATATATACTACCGTGTCCCAATTTCCTCAATGCGTCTAATCATTAACCAAATCAACAACCCAAGGTTTAAACGCCGTCCCAAATCATAAGTACTCATGTTGTTTCATCGTGTTCGTTCATTTACCATGCCGCCTAGAAGCCCCGACCAAGAATGCTAATCCCAGAAAAAAATAACAAGAACACAGGTACGCCGATAGTGACCAAAAGAGCGTTTCTGCACCGCCACCCAAGACCAACCAGTGAATGATTATATCCAACCTTATAACTATGATCCCACCGGGTATCTGAGAAACACCATGGTCCAATTTTCCACCCCGCCAAAAGAATTCCCATGCAAGCATGTTTCCAGTATCTCACACAACTATGTATTTATATACATCCGTTCTGTCCAAAAGTCATATACAGTTCCAAGCCTGATTCTTACACTGTAGTCATTGTCTAGGCGACATTTCTGCCTGCAGCCTCACCACGATTCATTCGGTTGTTAAGAGCTGCCGCGTTGAACATGAAATCACGATTAATGTCCATGCTTCGAGCGATCCGCCCACCTGGCGTGTTGGGATTGACAACGTTCACACGGCCACGATTTGAAGCTCGCTGTACGTCTTCGTCATCTGTGTGATCTTCCTCCTCATAATCGGCCAATCTTGTAAAGTAATCAGCGAGCCCGTCGACGCTAGGCGTACCAACAACATGATCATACATGGGCGGAGGTGTTGGCATTGGTGGAGGGGGTTCATCAGCCTCATATTCAGGAGCAGCAAAACTTGGGCTGCGTAACATGTGAATTGGTCGTTGAACTGCCGTGTTCATTGCGAGATGCGCTTGTGGTGGTCTAGTCAAAAGCTGAGCGGTTTCTGGGCGCGCAATCGTCGACTGACCGAGACTCTGTCTCAGATTATCAAGAGAAGAGGCTCTCGAGGCTGATGTTATTGGCGGATTCTCCACACTGGCTGCATTAGGACAACCACATTGACGCTCATTTTGAGAGCGAACAGTCGGGCCACCAAGGTCACAGTATGCAGGCAAAGCCATTTGCATTTGGGATGCGTGACAGCTGAGAATCGTAAAAGGGGAATCGATAGAAATCTCAAAATGGCGGCGCTTTTTACCAGTAGGGTCATCAGGATCTTTGCGGGATATACGCATAGCAATCTAAAGATAGGGTAAGCAGATGTCTTCCGAAGGGCTAGCAACTAATGTGAGAATTCAATTTACCTTGAACCAGTGGTGTACCCTAGCATTCTTCCATGAGCAATCATGATGAAGACGTTTAGATTCATCTTTCTTCATCATCTCGCATGTGGGTAATTGAACTGACATCTCCAATTCTGTTGGGCCAGCAAAGTGGTCAAGCCCAAGGTCGATATCGCCTAGTATATTGTTGGACTCTTCAGGTAGAGGTTCTGGGTTGGTGCCCAACTGTCTTGCTATTCTCTCCCTCTCCCTCTGTGCAGTTGCCCGCGCTTGAGCTCTTTCTGCAACAGAGAGCTCGCCTCCACGGAGAACCCGCAGTTCAGAGTTTCTAAACTCTTTGGAAGGATCCTGGTTCGCCAGTTTTTCGAAGAGTAAAAGTTTCTTCTGTTGCTTATCCTTCCTAGTTATATCACCACTGTTATTATGGTAATCAATAGACTCCGTAACATAAATCCTGATCTTGTGAATTTGAACCTTTGCCAGAGGGGTCAATTTGAAAGCTATAGGAATCTTCGAGCCAATTGGGAAGGATTTTCCGGAAATCATGATATCATAATGTAATTGATCTTCCCAGTTTCTGCTTATTGAGATGGGCTCGACCAATTCCAATGACTCAATATTTGGTGTTCTGATGACCGGTACTTCTTTGACTCCAAAAAGGTTGGCACGAAAGGCACCAGCTCTTTCTACCAGAGTTTCCACTTGCCATACCACAGAAGCCATTGGGAGTTTTGTAGTTTCCGGAGAGTTATTGTCAATTGGCAATTCAAAAGTATATTCGTATACTCCAGGATGGAAAGTTTTGTAACCTTTTTGTTGAGGTGTTGGACCGTTGGGAGAGTCTCCCTTTTGAAAACTTCGGGATTGATTATTCTGTAGTGACAGTCTCTTTGTTTCCTTTGATGTTATGAGGGTACTTGCTCTACTTCTAGCACCGAGTAATGTCGATATCCCAGAGCTTGGTGAATCCAGAGGGGTTACAGATGTCGTCCCAGATTTATCCCGTAAATAGTAATTGCAGTGCGTGCCATAGCCGACATCAGAACCTTCGTACAAAGCATTGAAGAATGGTAGAACTTGCGTTCGAAGCGAATCTTCTTGGAAAGTTTCTGTTCTGTTCGGTGGCAATCCTGTGTAATTGTAAGCTTCCTTGATCAAAGTGTGTAAGTGAAATGAGTATTTCATACCTTCAGGCCATTCAGTTCGCGCCTTTCCTCTAAATGTTAATGTAACTGACTTGATCTTGGCGCTTTTCGTAACATTGAGTCGAACTTTGCCACGGAGAATCCCAAGGGTATTGTGGGATTCGGAATTGCGAGTTGTACCGTCGTGATCCAAACCAGTCAGATAGACAATAGGTTCAGCGAACGGAACGTAAACGGATACACCGTTACCTGACGCAACAGGTTTTTCATTTTCCCCGATGTTCGCTATTGGGGGTGGCTTTGAAGTTCTATGGCTCAAATCAAGTTCTGGCTGGCTGCTTGCTAAGGGCCGGTTTTCAATGCCCACAGCTTCCATATTACTAGGCCCAGGCCCAGTCATTATTCCTCCTTCCGACCCGGCCTCCAACCCAGAACTGGATTGGGCCCTTCTAGAAAATAGGCTTCGACGATCCCCCGAATTGGTCCGTACTGACTGTGAACGACTCACTTGCGGACTCGGTGATCTCGTGGATGATGCAGCAGAGGCTGTTGGTGAAGAAGGTTGGGATGAAAAGGGCGAAAAAACAGAACCTAGCACACGCTTCGCACTCTCTCGGGAAGCCAGCTTGTTCAGTTGGGATTTGGTTCGGGAAGGCTTTTTAGGCCCTGGTGGGGACGATGGAGGTCGCAAATCAAATGGGACAAAG